GAGCGGGGTGCAGGTCCCCCTGGACACCCCCTCCAGCCTGGGGGAGCTTTGCCAGCTCCCCCTGCCCTGCCGAGGGGCGATGCTGCAGGACGTGGGAGCAAACAGCCTCCTGCTCCATCACTCCTGGTGTCCCTGGGGCGAGCTTCTGCCTCCCCCCCAGCCTGGCCAAGGTGCAGCCGTGCCCGGGCAATGTCCCTGTGCCGGGGCTCTGCTTTCCCAGAACCACGGCCAGCTCGACCCTCGGGCCAAAGCCGGGGACAGGAGGGGACGTGGAGCCGGCTGTGCCCAGCACGGGTGCAGCCCTGTGTGGCCACCCACGGCGTCAGTGGCAGGGCTGTCATGAGCAGAGGCCATCACGGATGGCAGCTAATTAATCTCCATTACACCGTGGGAAGCCGGGACTTGCTTGTTTAACACACACCTGCAGCATCCTCCCGGCACAGCGAGGCGTGGGACAAGCCCACCGCAGGGCCAATGCACACACTGCTGCGCGCGAGGAGCACGCTGAAGGGCTGGGGACCCCCCCCCCCCCATCTGCCTTTGCAGGGCACAGGGACCCCCACCACCACCCCACAGGTCACCCCAGGAGACACGGGCCGTGCCCCAGCCAGGGCGCTCGGCAGCAGCAGCGGTCCCCTCCAAAACGCTAAAAGCTGCCCCCCTTCACCTGCGCTCATCCCCCCGGGGGGAAGCACGTTTATAAAAAGGCCTTGCGTGGATGAGCTGGCAGAAATAGCTGCGCGCAGCCCTCTCCGGGCGGTGTAAGGGATGAGCACCAGCTGTGCTGCAAAACACCCAAAATAGAACCAGCGCCAGCGCCGCGCAGCCCTCGGGGAGCTGGTCCCCGGTTAGCCAAGGCAGCCAGAGAAGGGAGACCGTGCCCGTGTCCCCCCCTGCCTGCATCTGCACCCCCCCACTGCCGGGGCAGCCTCAGAGCAGCCGGGAGCTTGGGGAGAAGCCCCCTCCCCAGCAGATGGGCTCTGACAAGCTCCTCCCGTGGCTTCAGAAGCAGCCGGAGCCGTGCTTGACCCTGAGCCGGCGGCATCCCTGGCCTCGGACCCTCGAAGCGTCTCTACAGCCCCTGCTTGAACGCCCCAGGGGTCGCGGCTGCACCACACACAAACCAGACAGGCCCCTCACGGTCCCAGCAAGCTGCTGAAAGCAGCTCCCTCCTCCTCTGCGCTGGGCCAGACTCTAATTACCACTTCAGAAGGCTGCACTAAACAGATGCGAGCTGCCCCACAGTTTGTCTGGGGCGAGATATTGCTGGAGTGGCCCAACAAAACCCTCGACATCCCTGCTATTCCCTTCGGTGTCACAGCCCTGTCACCTCTGCCTCTCCCTGCCCGGGAGGAGGGCACCACAGGGGAGGAACGGCCCCTCTGCCGGGATGAGGGCTCTGGGTACCAGCATCCCAGTGCACTCCGGCAGCATCTCCACAGCAGCGCCCAGCCCCCCGCTGCCTGCCAGGGCTGTTCTCCAGAGCAGAGCCCAGATCACCCGCGGGATGGCACCCACAAAACCGCCTCCATCCCAGCCTGGCCCGGAACTGGCTGGGTCTGGACACCGTCCCGCAGCCCCCGGGCCTGCCCAGGGCACTGCTGCAGCGCTCAGGATCGAAGCGAAGGCTCGGAGCCCGCTTGCACCGGAGCTACAGCTTCTCCTCCCGCAGCCATCCCTGCCAGCCCTGTTGCCATGGCACCCTCAGGGATGGCACGGATGCCGGCAAGGAAGATGAGGAGGATGAAGGTAGGTGGACACCTTGGCTCCGCGTAGCCAGGACGGGGCTGGGGTGGATCTGGGGGTCCCCCGTGCAGCAGGCGGGAGCCATTCCCCCCGCCCGGGGTGTCCCAGCTCTCCAGGATAACTGGCGGCAGTGGGCAGCCACACAAGGTGCTGAGCCGGCCTTGGCGGCACAGGGCTGGCCCTGCCCCGGGCTCCACCGTCCCTGTCCCCATCCTCGGCACGCAGGTTGGGTGAGCTGCTCCCATCCGCGCCTCCGACACAGCCACGGGAAGAAATCAGCTTTTGCGCTGGGTCATGAACAGTAACCGGGCTGAGGGCTGCTGCCCCCCAGCCTACCCCTGCCTCCACCTCCCTCTCCCCCCTCTCTGGTTGCTTTTTGGGGGTCTCAGACCGCGCTGTTTGCATCAGCGCTAGCAGAGGCTGAGCAGCGAGCCACAGTGATGCTGGTCCCACAGCAGAGGTCACATAAAAAGGCTCGGTCCAGAAGAACAGCAGGGTTAAAGCCGAGATGACACAGATGACACTTTCCAGGAGTCTACGCATCCCCCGGGGTTCAGCCAAGACCCTTCGTGTTCACCGCTCCTCATAAACCAAGGGAGAGGCAGGGATATTCAACCCCAAAGCTCTTGTTTAACCCACCACGCAATTAAAATCTCCCATTTTAGGCACATCTCCTATTCACAGCAACTGAACTTGGTACCCGGAGCCTGGCGAGCCGGCACTGGGCACGCAGTGCCCGGAGTCCTGGTACCAGGGCAGGGAGCAGCGCGGTTCCCCCAGGTCCCACAGTGAATCGTCAGGGAGCAAACCGCAGCCCAGGGAACGGCGCAGACATTACTCAGCAAATCATTACGAATAACTAATAGGTCTGAAAAAACGTAACCTGTGATCATGTGCGAATAAGAAGGGGGGGGGGGGGTGAGGAACAACGACACACATCTCCATTAATCACTCATCATGAATTATTCAGCAAAAGAGGAAGCAGAAGGCAAACACAGGAACGATTCGTGTAGAAATGGAGTGGGTTTGGTGTTCAGCCCCTCCATAGCCAGCGGTCCCAGCAGCCTGGCAGGGCCCCCCCAGCCCCTCGGGGAGATGGAGCTGGCACCGCCGTGCTCAGCCCTCGCTGCCAGGAGCGGGGCCGGGGCATCTCCCACCCGCCCGGGCCCCGGCGAGCTCAGGCTGGCAGAGCAGGAAAGCAAACGCTCAGGTCCTGACCTCTCAAGGAAGCTGCTGGCAGGTCTGCCCTCCGGGACACGGCACCCAGGAGCTGCAGGGAGAGCCCACGGGTGGGAGACGGGGCCTCTGAGCACAGCCCCCCCCCGAGGGGCTGGTTTCCACCCACACAGGGTCATTTCTGCCACCTCCACCTGTACCCAGGCCGCAGCTTTTGTCCCCGATGACCCGAACGCCAAGGCAAAGGCAGGGCAGAGAGTCTGCGCTTCGGTATTTCCTCAATGCGGTGGAAACCGCCAAGCACTCCTGTAATCCCACGCTACAGAAGCGTGCTCGGCGAGGCCGGAGCACCAGCTCCACCCCAGAGGCACCTCGGGGCCCCGCACCCACAGCTCCCCGCTCCAGGCACCCACTCCCGACACCCCAGGACCTTCCTTCTCCCCCCCTGCTCCCTCCCCAGTGTGACCATCCCTCACCAGTCCCTCTGCTCCCCAGCAGCCGTGTGACCCCCCCTCGAGCGGGCACACACACGGCCCCTCCACGCCCGAATGCTGCCGTGGCTTTTCTCTGGTGCTGGAGAACAAACCCCCGCTCCCAGGCAGCCTGTGCTCATCCTGCCAAGACAATTTATCTGCTTCTAAATTTTTCTTTTTCTTTTTTTTTTTTTAAAGTAAAGCTTTTCTACAAATAATCTGGTGTGCGTGCATGCATCTGAAAATGAACGGACAAACATATATTTTCAGGGTTTATATGGCCAATTTAGCCAGCTACTGAGACATCTCTGTGTTACTGGAGTTAGCAAAGAAGCTGCCATAAGGTTTTCCTAAACGCTTGCTAATGTAATAAGACCTTCATTTCTCTGTTAGCTCTGATTATTATTATCATCTTTTACCAAAGAAGGTTGCAATTTTAGATTATATTTTAGTAATCACAAGAGAAATTTCCCCTAATGTTAATCTAATCTAGGAGAGTGCTATGATAAATACTGTTACAGGCAGCGGTAGTCTGCTAAATTACAGACCCATGTGCAACACTGTGTTTATTGTGCATTTATGACCATTTCCCCACTTTCCACCCAATTACCTGTTTCTGCTGGGACCGCTCCTGCAGCCAGCAGCCACAGGGCGAAAGGCACTGGAGTCTGCAGGAAAGCGGGTTTCTGCCCGGGTGAGAGATTTGGGGACCCAAGGTCTGGCCAGGGACAGGTCCCAGTAACCTCCCAGCAGCGCCGAGGGGAGCTCTGTGCCCCAGAGAGCAGCACGCAGGGGCCCCAGATCCCCCCCACCCAGCACAGAGCACGCGGGCACCCCAGACGTGCGCTGGGACCCCAGGGCCATTAGCACCGGAGGGGAGCGGGGGGGTCTCTGGTCCAGCCCCCAGCTCCTAGTGGGGTCAGCTGGGGGCTCGCGTTTGCTCCCAGCTGGGTGCCCCTGGGTCCGGAGCCTCTCCGGGAGCCCACGCCGGTGCTGAGTGGTCCCCGCAGCGACACCCACGGGGCACACGCACCAGTGCACGGCCACCCTCCCAGTGCCCGGGCACACGCGGGTGGCACGGCCTCCCCCACTCCAGACGTGGGCACGCAGACCCCCAGGGACACGAGCACCCCGGGGCAGACACACGCAGAGCCCCCCCCGCACGTGGACACACCCTTGCATGTGGGCACACGTGCAAATATGCGTGTGCAGGGGCACGCGGGCACGGGCACACGCACACAGGGATGCCGCCCCGCAAAGGGGCACGCACCCACAGCGCAGCACCCACGTGGGCACACGCGTGGGGACACCCCCACACACACCCCCACACCCCCCGCACAAACACACACCCACGCTCACCCACCACACGCACAAACGCCCACGCACGGGTGGGCACAGACGCTCACACCCCTCCCACTCCCGCCCACGGACACATCCACATACCCCACGCTCACGGTCGGGCACTCACACGGACACGCCCCCCCAGCCGGGCAGGGACACAAACCCGCATCCCCCCCCCCCCCCCCCCCCACGCCGCACACGGACACCCCCGCCCCGCCGCTCCCCGCACCCACCCGGGGGCGGACGCGCCGCCTCCCCCCCCCCCCCCCCCGCCCGTGCCCTCCTCCCCACGCAGCCCGGGGAGCGGCGGCGGGTGACGCAGCCGCCCGGAGCGAACATAAGGGACGATGCGGGCGGGGGCCCCGGTGTAGCCCGGTACCGCCAGACCGGGCACCGGCACCGGGAACCGGGCAGCAGGTAGCGGGCCGGGCACGGGGGCGGTGGGCTCCCCCCCTCCCCTCCCCAGCACCGCGGACAGGCCCTGGTGGCGGGGGGGGGGGGTAAGGGGGGGACTCGGGGGGGGTCCCCGGTGCCCCCGTCCTCCCCCCGCGGGCAGCGGGAAGGGCCGAGGCTGCAGCCGGGCTGGGACCCGCCGGCGAGATGGAGGTGAGGAGCCGTCGGGGAGCGACTTGGAAAGGAGCCTGCGGGGTCCCCCGGGGTGGGGGGCAGCGGCCGCGGGCAGCTCCCGGGGACGGGGACACACACACGCACACCCCCCCACACCCCCCCGCTTGCGCCTTTGAGGGGGGCTGTGGGGGGTGATGCCCCCAGGGCGAGCACTTACAGCGGGTCCCAGAGGTGCGGGGTGCGCGAAGGGCAGGGCAGCCTGCGCACACCACGGGGGAGGCTTTTGGGGAGCCCCTGTGAGCACGGGCTGCCAAGAGCTCCGGGGGGGGGGGGGGGGGGGGAGATGCTCCGGGTGGGGACACACGCACGCAGAGCCGGGCAGGCAGCAAGGGGCAACAAGAGCGTGGAGCAGGCGGGGGCCGGGGCGTGTGGGCAGAAGGTCTGTCTGTGCCTCGGGTGTTTCCACGGTGCTGGGCACCCACCGGGCCCTCCAGCACGGCTCCGAGCTGCCAGCGGAGCCCCCCCCCAGGTCGCAGAGGTGCAGGGGGGGGCGGGTGTCGCCCCCCGGGGGCAGCAGGGCCGCGATGGGGAGCGATGCGCAGGAGCCTTACCTGGCTGCATCTCCCGTAGCCAGCCCGTGGCAGGCAGCGCCAGGGAAGCACTTGCCCGAAGAGCCGGTGCCTGTCGGTCCTGCGGAGCCGGCCCTGCTGCGGGGGGAAGCTGCTCCCCCGGCACAAGCGGCTCACACCACCATTAAGCAGCACGGGGTTACGGGCAGCGTGGCCACAGCTCCTTCACGTTTCCTCCAGCAGTGAGGAAGCAAAGATCACGGCTCCAGCCCGAGAAGCCACGGGAGATGCTCACGCTGTCACCAGCGGGCTCTGCGTTACCTCCCGAGAGACCTAGAAGACGTGGTGGAAACCGCCTCGGCATCAGGACCATGCTGATTTCTGGGGCATTTGGGGAAATCGGCTGCACCCGGGCAAACGCCAGCGCAGCCACCGGCGAGGCCGGGCTGGAGAAGAGCGAGGCAGGATGAACCGAGGGACATTGCCCGGGAGCAGCGAGAGCAAAGCTGCTCTGCAAGGGCGGCCGAGCCGTAGGCTGAGGGTGACCCCCCACACAGGCTGGGGACGAGATTGCATCAGCAGGGCCAAATCAGTGACGGGTCCCACAAACAGAGACCATCGGGCCAAGGCAGGGCGGCAAGTCAGGTCCTAGGTCAGGGAGAAAAGTCCCATGAAGGAATCTCACAGGAGCGGAGGCACCTCCATCACCTCCATAGCTCAAACCAGGACTGGAGGGCTGGGCCAGCGTTTAAATAGAGCCCCCGCCCAGGGGCTGAGGGAGGGAGGGAGGGTGGGGGTCTCAGGTGAGGCTGGTCAGGGCAATTAAGGGCAATTAGTGCGCTCAGGGCCCTGGCAGCCAAGTCCACTAGTGTGTCTGGAGCAGCGGAAGGCCAGAGGCTCAGTGACAGATGGAAAAAAATACAGTACCCCCTAGAGATGAGATTATTGAGAGGGGGCAGATGCCGTAAAGCAAAGGCGTGGAGCGGCTGTGAGAAGGCAGGGCTGGGGCATCTCCCACCTGACAAAGATCAGCTCTTTCTCCCCAGGAGACCCCCGAGGAGAGCCAGCCTGTCCTCCCACTGCCACCCACCTGCCCCGCACCCTGGGTCCCCGCTGTGTGCAGGGGGCTGCGGTGCTGCACACGGGTGGGGAGTGGTTTTGGGGGGCTCCTAGTGCCCCAGGGCGGGGGTGGACGTGGCTGGAGAGGTGGGAGCAGGGCTGAGGAGCAACCCTCACCTCTCCTTCACGGTTCCTTCCGCAGCCGCTGGCCGACGCCATCTCTGCCCACCAGTGATCAGCGGCCGGTGCCATGGATGAGGTGACGGAGCTGGAGATGGGGGGGAACTCTCTCCTGAAGGCAGTGTGGCTCGGCCGGCTCCGGCTGACCCGCCTGCTGCTGGAAGGGGGGGCTTACATCAATGAGAGCAACGAGAAAGGGGAGACCGCCCTGATGGTGGCCTGCATCACCAAGCACGTCGACCAGCAGAGCATCAACAAGGCCAAGATGGTGAAGTACCTGCTGGACAACCGAGCTGACCCCAACATCCAGGACAAGTCCGGGAAAACAGCCCTCATGCACGCCTGCATCCGCGGCGCCGGCGGGGACGTGGTGTCCCTGCTGCTGGAGAACGGGGCAGACCCCAGCCTGGAGGATCACTCGGGAGCGTCAGCTCTGGTCCACGCCATCAACGCCGACGACAAGGACGTGCTGCAGCACCTCCTGAACGCCTGCAAAGCCAAAGGGAAGGAGGTGATCATTATCACCATGGACAAATCGGCCTCTGGCACCAAGACCGCCAAGCAGTACCTGAACGTTCCCCCCTCGCTGGAGTTCAAGGAGAGGGCCCCCCCCGAGGCGTGCACAGCACCCTCCAGCACCCACCTGAAAACTCCCATCTCGGCACCTTCCCCTGCTGAGAAGGAGAACGGCATCTTCAGCTCGCACCCCGGGGACAGCCCCTCGGCCAGGGCTGCCGACGAGCCCCCCTCCCCGGGCCGGAGAGCTGGTGCGGGCAGGAGAGCCCGCCTGCCCCAGCTGAAGCGGCTGCGGTCGGAGCCGTGGGGTCTGGTCGCGCCCTCGGTGCTGGCAGCCTCCGCGCACCGCGACGACACGTGGGTCTGCGCGGACGACGAGGTGATCACGGGCATCGGCGACCTCTCGCTCTCCAAAAAGTCTCCCCTCGCCCGGGGCAGCAGCAGCAAGAGCAAGGACCCCTCTCTCTTCCCCCCGGTAGACGAGCAGGCCCTGAGGACGCCGGCAGCCCCCGGGCCGCTGGCGAGGAAAGCAGCCTACGAGAAGAGCCAGGCCACCCACCCGCGCCTGCCCCGACGGAGCACGGTCCCCGAAGAGCCGGAGAGCGTCGGCTCCGGTGCCGCCGGCTTGGCCGCGGTGATGGATGCGCTGCACTGGCGGAGGCTGGGCGCCGAGCACTACGACTGCGACCCCCAGCCCCCCGGCGCGGCCGAGGCGGGGAAGGTGCCGTCGGAGAGGAGGAAGCTCAGCGGGTCCCACCTGGCCCTGCTGGGCGGCTCGCGGGAGTCCCTGGACGGCATCGCCGGCACATCGCCCGGGACCGTCCGGCGCCGGCCGCCCGGCTTGCTGGAGAGGCGAGGGTCTGGGACCCTGCTGCTGGACCACATCTCCCACACGAGGCCGGGATATCTGCCCCCCCTGAACGTGAACCCCAACCCCCCCATCCCCGACATCGGCTCCAACAGCAAAACCTCCCCGCTTGCTGCTGGCTTGAAGTCCCTGGTGCCCATCGCACCCAGCTCGCCCAGGCGGGGCGACTTGAGAGCCAAAAGGAAGCTTCTCCGGAGACACTCCATGCAGGCGGAGCAGATGCGGCAGCTCTCCGATTTCGAGGAAATAGTGGCCCAGTAGCTGTGTCACCATTTGCCTCCCAGGAAGGCTACCAAACCAGTGCTGTCCCTGCAGAAACATGACGGTTCCCGCACAGAGCGGCCGCCCGGCTCTAGGGAAGCGCTGGTGGCCACGGGCGTCAGGCCTGTGCCCCGGGGGCTGGACCAGGAGGTTCCTGCCCTCACTTGCCAGAGATGTAAGGAGAGCCTGGGCGTCCAGCCTGAAGAGCTGAAGTCTCTCTTGTGCTCTTCATTCACTTCTGGACCTTTCCCCAGGAGCAGCTGCCTGAGAGGTGGATCCCAGACCACCCCAGATCGTCAGGCTTCGCACAAGGGCTCCTGCCTGCAGTTCGTTTATTCCTCATTATTTACAATCCACTTTTCTTCCATCCCGCTCGTTGTGACACAGAAACCCGTCCAGAGCCCCGTGCCAGTGAGCCGTGAGGCTGGTGTGTTTGTGAAGTGCCTACCAGGAAGGAAAGGAGCTTAACGCTGCGCGAGGTCGGAGGAGCAGAAATATCCCTCTCTAGCCATCGAATGTACCCTCACTGTGCTGGAGAGGGAGACAGTTCTCCGCCTCAGAGATTTCCAAGCACTTTGAAACTCCAGCGGCTGAGCTAAACCCCGTTACTGCTGCAACCCGGTGCCTTCGGTGGGCCTGGATTGGGAACGGGTTTGTCTCTGTCTCTGAAGCGACCAAGGTTCAGGGGCATTTCCCACCGCACTGAGCAGCTCCAAGCCCTGAATTCCTGGGCGGGGAGCGCTCCCAGCTCGTCTGCGTGGGAAGCTTCTGCCGACAACGGGGGAGCAAGGATGCCAAGTTGCCGAGGATGGCACGTGGCGAGTGTCAGGGGTTGGTCCCAGCCTGGGAAAGCTGCAGTGGTGCAGCCTGAGTCCGAGCACGGCTGGAGGCGGGGGTGCGGCTGCGGTTCCTTCCCGGGGCACGGGGACCCCAGCACCCAGCCCTGCAGACAGCCGGGGCCGCGCAGCACTCGCAGCACGTGGCAGCTTTGCAGCATCAAGGGCAGCGAGACCACGCACCGCCGGCCCCCTCCCACCCGCACACCCCAACCCGGCACCGGCCGGCGGTGGGGAGCACGCCTCGCCCCACGCTTCGACGGGGCCAGGGGCTGGATGCGTGCCGCAGCTGCCGGCTGCCAAGAGGAATCAGCCCACAGCCCCGACTCGGTGAGCGTCCCGGATCTGCGCCCCCCCCCGGCCTCGTGCCACCCGTATAAACCCGAGCGACAGCAACTCCCGTGGGTTTATTCAGTGACGTCCCGCGTGTCCCGCCGCCCACGGCACAGGCAGCGGCACCGAGTGACAAGCACACAGCAGCAGCGTCGCCCCCCGGGGCTGATGCCGGATTCTGCCCTCACCTCAGTCCTCCCTCCGAAACAGCCAGCGACGAGCCGGGGGCATTGGCCGTCCCGCTCCAGGCTGCCCCAAAACTGTGTGAGGCAGCACCGCTTTTTGGGTTGAATGTTCTCTGAAAGTGCATTTGAGATTTAAATACGCTATTTAGAGCAAAGGTGGGCTTATATTTTTACAGCCTTAAAGTTTATACTTTCTGTAGGTCAACTGTCTTCTAGAGTGAATTTCAGGCGTATTTTCCCTATAATGATGATGTTTGTGTTGTGTTTTAGCGTGGCATTTTAAATCTCGCGGCTCGCCTTTTCCGTTCGTTTCTAAACATTGCAGTATTTGGCGTTTGTCCCTTTTTTAAGCCGCATCCGCGCCGGGGCGGGCCGGGCGAGCGGCGCTTCCCCGCGGGGGGTTTTATTCCGCGTGGGCGCGGAGGTGCGAGCTGGCAGGTGCCGGGGGGGTGACGCCGTGCAGCCCCGGAGACCTTTTCTGTTAACGAAGAGCCCAGCGATGGCCCGAGCCGGCCGCTGCCCGCGGTGCCGGGGCTCCGGCCGCCGCTCGGGGGCGGAGCGGGGGGGGGGGGGGGGGGGGCCCGGGGCCGCCCCCAGCGGAAGCGCTGCCGGTACCGGGGCCGGGCGGGCGCCACGTCAGGGGGGCGGGATGCGGGGCGGGATGCGGGGCGGGATGCGGGGGCTGGTGCTGGGGCTGGTGCTGTGCGCGCTGCGGGCCGGCCCGGCCGGTGGCACCGAGCTGACCTTCGAGCTGCCCGACAGCGACAAGCAGTGCTTCCACCAGGAGCTGGAGAGAGGCCTTAAATTCACGCTGGACTACCAGGTATTGCCCGCTCCGCCCCTTCCCCCCTCCTCCCCGGGCAGGGCTGCGGCTGCACCCCCGGCTCCCCCCAGCCCTGGCCCCGGGTCCGCCCCGGAGCCGCTACCGGGCTGTGCCCGCGGCGGCCACCGGAGCCCCCGACCCAGCCATCGGGGCTGCCCCCCCCGTGCGGGCACCCCACCGGAGCTCCGGGCACCCCACCGGTGCTCAAGGCACCCCATCCGAGCTCCAGGCACCCCACTGGAGCTCCGGGCACCCCATCCGAGCTCCGGGCACCCCACCGGAGCTCCGGGCACCCCATCCAAACTCCGGGCACCCCATCCGAACTCCGGGCACCCCACTGGAGCTCTGGGGACCCCACCGGAGCTCCAGGCACCCCATCCAAACTCCAGGCACCCCATCCAAACTCTGGGCACCCCATCCGAACTCCAGGCACCCCACTGGAGTTCCAGGCACCCCATCCGAGCTCCAGGCACCCCACCAGAGCTCCGGGCACCCCACCGGAGCTGCTGGGGTGCAGCATCCCCAGGGGCTCCCGCATCCCAGGTCCCCTCCTGTGGTGGGCAGCCGTGGGCACGGCGCAGGCTCAGCGAGGGCACGGCCGTGCACGCAGTTGTGGGGCCGGGCAGAGCGGTTCCCTCCAGGGCCAGAGGCTCTCGCCGTGTAGTTTGGCAGGTGCCACCGGCGTGTCCTTGCACAGGTGATCACCGGGGGACACTACGACGTGGACTGCTACGTGGAGGACCCCAACGGCAGGACGATCTACAAGGAGACCAAGAAGCAGTACGACAGCTTCCCGCACCGTGCCGAAGTCAAGGGCGTCTACACCTTCTGCTTCAGCAATGAGTTCTCCACTTTCTCCCACAAAACCATCTACTTCGACTTCCAGGTGGGCGACGAGCCACCGATCCTGCCCGACATGAGCAACCGTGTCACCGCCCTGACGCAGGTGGGTCACCGCACGCTGCCACGGGAGGAAGGGCTTGCTGCAGCTCCTGCCTGCGGCCAAACGGCCCCACGGGCCGGCAGCTGGGGGCTCGTCCCTCTTCCCCTCTGCCAAATGCAGAAGTGCCAACCACCGGCCAACCGCCCCGCCACGTGCAGGCCACGTCCTCCTCCCGGTGCCACGGGCAGGAAGGGATGTGGGGGGGGGGGGGGGGGGGGCTGCTCTGGTTGTGAAACTGAGCACCCCGTTTCCAGCCCACGCAAGGGAAGGGCAGCAAGGCTTCTCCATCCCTTGGTGTGACCCCGCCGGGATGGCTGGGCCACCCCTCGCGCCTCAGCGGGGCCCCCGGCCATGCCCCGGGGCTCACGGCAAGCTCCCGCCGCCGGACGGTCTGCAGCTGTGCCCCTTTGAGCAGAATTGCCCTCGGGCCGGGGCTGGCAGAGACCCAGCGGCACAGGGTGCTGCTGTCCTGCTCCCGGGTGCCCCGGCACGGTCCTCAGCCCCCCCTCGGCCGCTGCGCTGTGCCAGGAGCGATGGAGCACGCTTGTCTCCCTAGATGGAATCCGCCTGCGTCACCATCCACGAGGCGCTGAACACGGTGATCGACTCCCAGACCCACTACCGGCTGCGGGAAGCGCAGGACCGGAGCAGAGCCGAAGACCTCAACGGCCGGGTCTCGTACTGGTCGGTTGGGGAAACCCTCATCCTCTTTGTGGTCAGCATTGGGCAAGTGATGCTGCTGAAAAGCTTCTTCACCGAGAAGAGGCCCGGCGGCGGCGGGGCCGGCACCTAGAGCCGCAGCAGCCCTGGGCCCGAACTGCAGGAGGGGGGCAGGCGGGCAGCGTTCTCGGGGGGGGGGGTCACGCTTCACCTCAGTGTTCGAGGCGCTGCCGTGGGGGGGTGGGCTGGGTGGGAGCGGGGGTTGACGTGATGCTGCTGCTGCTGAGCCACGTGGATAATGGTCACCCCAGCATGCGCGTCCCCCCCCCCCCAGCATCACCTCCCGCTTTGCCTTCGCCTGCCCTGCGGCCCTGCCCCCTCGCCCAGCTGCTCTGTCCCCACTCCCCAGCTCCCCCGGGGAGGCGGGCGGACACGCCGGGGTTTGGTGTCAACACTCTGGCCTCACAGCGAAGCCTTTCCCCCGTCTTTCTGTGCTGCAGGAGCAAGCAGCGTGCCCCGTACACGATGGTATTTTCACATTTACGTGAGCCCATGCCCAGGGCTTGTCCCCCTGTGCCTCCCACCGTGCCCAGCAGGAGCAGGCACAGCTCTTCCCCACCTGTGCCGAGGAAGCCCCATCCCCACCCCAGCAGCAGGGAGCACCCCCCCACACCCCCGGGACTGCAGCCCCCTTCCCAGGAGCCCCACAAAGCAGCGACCCACCACGAGACCCCCAGGGAGACCAGCGCGCTGAGCGGGTGCGGGATCGCTCCTCCGGAGCCGGTTCAGCACCACGGGTGTTTTACTTTGCCACTTCGTAATAAAGATCCCTGTGACAGTGACTGGTGCTGCCGTTCTTGGGGCACCACTCCCGGGGGGGGCAGCCAGGTACGGCCACGGCCACGGCCTCGTCGGGCACTCACCCCCCACCAGCGCTCTGGGGACAGGGCTCAGCATCCGCGGGGGTGACGCCAGTCTCCCCCCCGGCCCTCGGCAGACCCCTGTCCAGGAGGAAACTTTCTGGCACAGGCAGTGACCGCAGCCTTGCCACGCACCGGCCGAGTGGGCTCCCAGTGCCAGACCAGATGCTGGAGCCGGGGAGACCGCGGCGGCAGGAGCAGCTCTCCCAGCCATCGCCCCACTGCTGCGGGCAGCTTGTGCACGGGGCCGCGCCGGCAGCGGGGGCTCCCCCGGGGCTCCGGGCACAGCCCCAGGTCTGGGTCCCGCCTGGCAGCGGGGGCCCAGCCACCCACCGCAGCAAAGCGGGGAGCCCCGGCCAGATGTGGGCTGGAGTCAGCCTCTCGCTCCAGTGCTGGCTCCGGCTCTCCCCGTAACCCTTCCCCAAAGCCGGGGGGCACCACAGCGGTTCCCGTGCGCCGTCCCTCGCCCCCAGCATTGCTCCCGGTGCCCCGGGGAGGGCTCAGACCGGCTGCTCCAGCACGCAGCGGGGAAGCGAGGGGCCCAGGCACCCCCAGCCCCTGCTCAAGGCCCAGGGCTGCAGCCACCTCCCCAGCCTCTCCCGGCCCCACCAGCAGCGGCAGCTCCCCCGGTAGCGCTGGCCTTGGGGCTGTTGCCACGCAGCCGGGAGCAGCTGGGCCCCCAGTGCCTCGCAACGACCTTCAGCGGGAGCTGGGAGCTCCCGTTCGGCACGGGGCCGCCGGCGGGCGCGAGGCTGCTGCGGGCAGCACCGTGCCCTGGGACTGCTGTCACCTCGGCACCACCAGCGGGGACCAGCCCCGCACCCCACGGGGGACAAACCGCCCCCGCAGCACCCAGCCCTGGCCACTGTGTGGGACGGGACACCCTTGGATGTGTCCCTCCCTGGGGACCCTGCCAGCACCCCACGGCGAGGACGGAAGCAGCCAGGACTGGCCCCAGACCAGCCACCCCCGCGCTTGGGGCTCCCACCCAGCCTGCCCCCAGCAGCGCTGGCTCTGGGGACCCCAGCCCAGCTCTCGGCTGGGGACGCAGGCAGGACAGGAGGTGGCCACAGGACGCTTTATTGCGGTGCTGGGCTCTGCCCCAGCCGCTGCGCAGGGCTTGGCAGGCGCAGAGAGGGGACCAGGGGGCACCCACACAGCCCCCACATTGCAGAGGCGCTTCGGGATGCTGGAAAAGAGCGACAGTGACCCCCCTCCCTGCCAGACCTGTCCTTGGTGTCCTGCTCCCGGTCCCCTCTCGCCTGCACCCCCGGTGCCTGCTGAGCACCCCGGGGTGGGCACGGGGCCGTGCCCGGCTCACAGGGAGCTGCTCTGGCAGGAGCCGGCCCCATCGGGCACCCGCTGCTCCCGCCCCCCCAGGACACCCCGTTTGGGTGGCAGGGAGGAGGCTGAGCAGCGGAAGGAGCCGGTGGCCGGGGAGGGCGGCTGGGGCTGGGGGCCGTGCCCACAGGGGCAGCCCCAGCCCCTCTGGAAGGGGATGGTGAAGAGCCCGTAGGTGATGGGGTCCAGGCACGCGTTGAAGAGGCCGAAGATGAAGAGGATGTGGGTGAGGGCTGGTGAGACCCTCTTCTCCATGGCCCGTGGGCAGAACCAGTACCACAGCCCCAGCAGGTAGTAGGGGGTCCAGCAGAGGATGAAGGAGGAGACGATGACCAGGCTCATCTTCAGCATGCGCAGCCGTGCCCGCGGGATGTTGTTCCTGGAGCACCGCAGCGACACGTCCCGGGAGGAGACTGGGGGGGAGCACAGCCCACGAGTGGGGGACACTTAGCTTCCTGGATGCTACGGGGACCCCACACCCCAAGGGAGGGCCAGAGGGTCTCCACACAGCCCCGGCCAGGGCTCCCCACTTGCTCCCTCCATCCCGGGGTCCCTGCAAAGCCCCTGCCCGGGCGTGGGGACGTGGCAGCCGGGTGCCCGGGCACTCACAGAGGCCGGAGCCCATGCGCCGGGAGATCTCCAGGAGGATGCGCGCGTAGCAGCAGACCATGATGAGCAGCGGCAGCAGGAAGAGGCAGGCGAAGCCGAGCATGTTGTAGAGGGTCTCGTGCCAGGGCTGGGCGAAGCTGCCCCGCGTCGTGCACTGGGTGAAGTTGTGCGGGGGGCGGAGGGTCACCGTGCGGAAGAGGAACAGCTGGAGGCAGAGCAGAGGTGGGAGAGCGGCCCCCTCCCCGGGGCCGCGGGGTGACGGGGTCTCTGTGCCCCCGCGATGCCAGGGCACCAGCTTCCTGAGCTGGGGACCGCTGGACCCACAGTGTCAGACCCCCTGCCCCTGTGCCAGCTCCCCTCTCCCAGGGGGCTGGGGGCACACAGCGGGGAAGGGGGCAGAGCTGGGTGGAGGGGGCACGCTGCCACAGCGCCTCCGCTGCCTGGCTCGGCTGCTTCTCCACCAAGCCCTCTCCATCCCCATCCCGCAGGTCGTGGGAGCACCGGCACGGTGGGCGGGTGGGGGTCTGGCACGGGGCCGGAGAGGATCCCCAGGGGTACCTGCGGCACCGAGAGCCCCGCGCTGAGGAGCCAGGCGACGTAGAGCATGATGCGGTTCCTCCTCCGGGCGCGGGCGATGGCCAGCGGGCGCAGGATGGCAGCCTGCCGGTCCAGGCTGATGACGACGGTGACGAAGGCGGAGGCGTACATGGCCAGCAGCCGGAGGTACATGAGGAGGCGGCAGGCCAGGTCGCCCGCCTGCCACTGCAGTGTGATGTTCCAGACGGCGTCCAGCGGCATCACCGCCACCGTCACCAGCAGGTCGGCGGCCGCGAGGTGCAGCAGCAGCAGGCGGATGTGGGAGCGCCGGCCGCCCCCCCGCCGCCCCCCCCGCCGCCCGCAGCACCGCCAGGTTGCAGCCGGCCGAGAGGATGAAGAGGGCGAAGGTGGCAGCCACACGGGCCTGGGCGGCGGGGGAGAAGGTGGGCAGCCGCAGCGGCTCCTCGGCACCCTCGGCGGGGGGGGTCCAGGAGCAGCCCCGCTCGGGGGGGGGCAGGCTGCCGGGGGGCTCCGCGCTGGCGTTCCCCACTGCAGGGTCTAGGTCTGGACGGCCCCCTCCTGCCGCAACAGGGAGACAGGCAGCCCAGAGCAGGCCCTGGGGTGGGGGCTCCGGGGGGGACAGGTCACAGCATGGCGGGTCCCGGCCCCTGGAGCTCCCTGCCCAGGGCCAGGGTGTCTGCACCACGACCACTGCCCCAGCTCGCTGTGTTCCCCTCCTCAGCTGCTCTCTGCATCCCCACTGCTCCTCCAGAGCCCCCCAGCAGCCCTCAGAGCCCCCCAGAGAGCTCCGGGGGTCTTTGGCACCAAGCAGGGCATGGGGGGACAGTCTCAATTGACCCCAACCCACCGCCTACCCCAGGCTATTGCTGCTGCCCATCCACCCCCCACCCCGCAGCATCCCTCGTGGTCCTGCTCGGGACGGAGACCACCCCAGCCTCATGCTGGAGCCCCCAGGGCACCAGACACCCCAGTCCCCCCCCCGCCCCACCTCACCTCCAGCCAGGGTGTCCTGCCCAGCACCGCCCAGTCGGGCCATGTCACGGCTGCTGCTCGCGCACTGTCGGGTCCCCACGCCGAGGGCTCCTGCTTCCACACCGGGCCCGGCGGCAGCGAGCTGGGGGGGGGGGACACACACCGGGGAAAGACGGGGAGCAGGGCAGGTACCGCCGGTGCCTGCAGCCGCCTCGGCGCCTGCTGCGGGGCCACACGCGGGAGGTGGCCGGTGGGATGCCCTTGGGGGCTCGGGTTGCTCCTTGACGTACCCAGCCCACTCGGAACGGCGCGGTCCTTCACCCTGCGCCGCCCACGCCCACGTGTGTAAGCGTGCCCAGCGCTCACACACGCACCCCCACCCCCCCCCACACACACACAGAGGCTCAGGTGCACGTTCCTGTTGACGCACACGCCTGCGCGTACCTGTGCACACGCAGCTCTGCCCTGACACCGCGTCCCGCTACCCCCCACCCGCGGGCGGGCAGCTCCGTCCCCCTCTGCCCACTCCCATCACCCCGGCTCATCCCAAACCCTGTCCTCACAGCGTGGGGCTGGCCGGGCCCCTGCTCGGCACCTTGGGCACCTGCCTGCCCCAGGAACCCCCCCCGGGGCAGGGCAGTGGGGGCCGGGGAGCTGGGCGAGGAGCTGGGCAGAGGGGGACCCCCCCCAGCCCGGGTGGGTGCTGCAGCCTGCCCTCCCCAGGGCTGGGGCTGCTGCTGCCAGGGCCGAGCATCGGGGTGCACAAAGGCCCCTTGCCTGGGGGTGCATCACTGGGGGGGGGGGGGGGGTGGCTCAGAGACCCACGGGTCTTTTCTCCCAGCCCGGCCTCTGCCAGCTGCTCCTGCAGACCAGGGCCAGAATGTCTCCCCAAGTCCCTTGAGCCCTGGCTGTGGAGGGGGGGCTGCAGTCAGGGGGAGGGCAGAGGGGCTGCTTTGCATCTCAAAGGCTTCGACCTAGCCCTGGCAGAGGGAATTAACATTATTAGCAAGTCATTTCACAGATAAGTGGGGCTCATTAGCCCTGCAGACCCCCTGCCCCAGAGCTCCCGGAGTGGGTGGGGAAGGGCCCCCCCAGCGCATTAGCACCCAGCTGCCAGGCCCCACCATGGTCCCTGTAATGGGCTCAACAGACCCCGACCCGCACCCCACAGGGAGCCGCCGAGGGGGCTGGGGGGCAGAGGGGCCCCATCTGCAGCCCTCCCCCCCCCACCCCCCTCTGCCTGCAGGGTCTCCAGCCAGAGGGGTCAGCCCCAGCCCCACGCACAAGCCCTTCCTCTCTTGCTGGACCCCAAATTCCCACATTCAACCCTGTGCTGGGGGGGGGGGGGGGTGTCTCACAGGCACCAGCACAGGGGGGCAGGCGATGCTCAGCTCACACCAAGCCCCAGGGCCGGATTCGGAGGGTGCTGGTGACCCCCACGCCTCCCCGGCCAGGGGAGGCCCTGGGGCAGGCAGTATCTCTCCCCAACCCTCCCCACAACCGCTCCCCGAGCCGATGTGGGGGTGTCCAGACATGCTGCACCCCGTCCCATGCCCGCGGGAACAGCCACGCGGTGACACGTGGAGGGGCACAGGGATTTATTTATGTACAGTCGCAGCCGCCCCAGCACGTCCGGCACAGCTCCAGGCTCACACGAGGGGCAGCTCGTCCCCGCCACCTCCCAGCTGTCCAAGGAGGGGGGGGACACACACAGACATGTCCCCCGAGCTGCAGGCATCCGGACCGTGCGTCGTCGTGGGGCTGCGTGGCACCGGGGGCTCTGGCACCGGGGACCTGGGGGGCTCGTCCGGGTCAGTCCTGGGGCTGCGACGGCAGCAAAGCCTCCAAGAGAGAGAGCAGGTCTGCGGAGAGGTCCTGGGGGGAGCAGAGCGGGGTGAGGCGGAGAGCGGCCAGGGCAGGGGTCCGGGGCAGGGCTGGGGTCTCGGGGGGGTGCAGGAGAGGGCTCCCACTTAGGGATGACCAGGACCACGGCCTGAGGTCTGTCCCTGCTGATGGGACCCCAACACACAGGAGGGAGGGTGTCCCCGGGGAGGACGGGCGCAGGCGGAGGGATCCGCACGCACCAGGAGGGGGGACACCTCCGTTCCCAACCCTGGACAAGGCTGTTGTTACCCCAAAACCAATCCGCACACTGCCCCAAGCCAACGGGGCGCCGAGCGCAGCGGGGCTGAGGCCTGCCCCATGACAGCCCTGTTCTGGGGGTGCCACCCGGGCTCGCCCCCACCCTGCCCGCACACGTACCTGGGTGACTGTCCCTGCATCCACGAGCTCCGGCAGCATCAGCCCCGCGTCCAGGAGGGGGGTCGCCGGGGAGGTCCGGGGGGGCCCCTGCGCAGTGGGGAGGGGGCAGCCAGGAGGACGTGTTGGAGGCGACAGCCCCGTGCAGCTCCGGGGGGGTCCCGGTTGCAGGGGCGTAGGGGGGTGACCCCCAGGTCTCCGTCCCCATGTCAGGAACCCCAAGCGCCTCCGGGGGGGGTCCCCGCCGCAGCGCCACAGGGGGGCGACCCCCAGGCCCCCGTGGCGTGCGGCTCCAGGGGGGTCCCCGCTGCAGGAGGTGACCCCCAGCCCGCAGTGCCGGGGGGCGAAGGGGCCGGGGCCGGTGGGCGCAGGCGGGGGGCCGGGCTCTGGCAGCACCCCAGGCCCTGGGGGCAGAGGGGGCAGTGGCGGGGGGCTGCCCCCCGCCGCCGGGCCAGCGCCTCCTCGCTGAGCCCCAGCAGGGCCGAGAGGTGGGCGATGTAGCGGATGGCGAGGCGCAGGGTCTCGATCTTGGTGAGGCTCTGCCCGGCGGGTGCCAGCGCGGGCGGCAGGTAGTGCCGCAGCCGCAGCAGCGCCTGCGCCAGCCGCCGCATCCGCAGCTTCTCCCGCTCGCTGGCGCTCTGCCGCGGGCCCCCCGCACCCCCGCACCGCACCCCCTTCCTGCCCCCGGGGCCGCCCCGCAGGCGGGGGGCTGCAGGGCCGCGGCGGGGTCCCCGGGGGGCGGCGGGGGACAAGAGGCCGCAGGAGTCGGGCGAGGGTGCGGGCGAGCTGCTGCTGTAGCCCTCGGGGTCCGGGGGTCCGCGGCAGCCCCAGTCCTGAAGCAGGGCCGTGGCGGGGGGCGCGAGGCCGGGGGCTGCCGAGCGGGCCATGGCGGAGGGGCCGTGTGCCGGCGGCCCCCGGCCGCCCCGGCTTTATGCGGGGCCAGAGGTGTGAAGTGGCACCTTCGTGGCCGCATCAGCAGCACTTCAAAGGGCGGGGGGGGGCGGGGGGGGGGGGGGGACCGGAGTGCAGCCACCTTTGAACACGCGGGTGACGAATTTTACCCCAGCGGTGTGAGGCTGCTCTGTGCTGCCCACCCACCCCACCCCCCCTGCAGCCCCCAACCCTCTGCGCTGTCCTGAGGAGGGGGCTTGGGGCCCACACAGGGCCTGTGTGGGGCTGCAGTGGGGGCTGCTGGGGGGCTGCTGGGGGACTGCAGTGGGGCTGCTGGGGGGCTGCTGGGGGGCTGCAATGGGGCTGCAGTGGGGCTGCAGTGGGGCTGCTGGGGGGGCTCCACAGCAGGGTGGGAGCCGCAGCGGTGCCAGTTCTGGGTGCCCACGCCCCCCCACCCCGCAGCGTGGCCCCAGCCGGGCATCCCCCGTGCCCAGCGGGGCTCTGCGGAACACCGACCCCCGCGCCCGGTGCCGCGGGCGGGGGGGGGGCACAGCCCGGCCTCCCGCAGCCCCCGCTAATGGCGTTTCACACTGAGGGGCGCGGCCGCCCGTCGCGGAGCCGGTGCCGGTGCCGGTGCCGGCGGGTGCCGGGCAGGGCCGGCCCGGGGGGGCGGGGCTGGGAGGGGCCCCCCCGCCGCGTTCCCAGGCCCCGCAGGTGTCGGTGCCGGCGGGTGCGAAGGTTTCCAGGGAAACGCGGGAAGGAAAAACCATCAGGGACACCCGGCACCGGCACGGCCCCCCCGCCCCGGCAGCGCGACCCCGGGGTAGCTCGGGGGACGTGACCCCCGCACGGCAATGTGCACGGGAACCCCCCCCCCTCCGGTACCGGGTACGCACAGCCCCGGGGGGACAGCGGTGGGCACGGGGACCCCCCCATACCGGATGTGCACAGCTCTGGGGGTACAGCAGTGGGCACGGGACCCCCCCCATATTGGATGCACACAGCCCCAGGGGTATGGCGGTGGGCACGGGACCCCCCCCATATAGGATGCACACAGCCCCAGGGGTATGGCGGTGGGCACGGGACCCCCCCCATATTGGATGCACACAGCCCCAGGGGTATGGCGGTGGGCACGGGACCCCCCCCATATTGGATGCACACAGCCCCAGGGGTATGGCGGTGGGCACGGGACCCCCCCCATATTGGATGCACACAGCCCCAGGGATATGGCGGTGGGCACGGGACCCCCCCCATATAGGATGCACACAGACCTGGGAACATGGGACTCCCCCATACGGGGTGCGCACCGGCCCAGGGGGATGGCAGTGGCTGTGGGACCCCCCCCCCAGGATCCCTCAATGTCAGGTCCCAGCCCCAGAGCTGGGCAGGGGGCACAGGGCCAGCTGTGGGGGTGCAGGGGCCCCCCCCCCCCCCGCCCCGTGAAGCGGGGTGAGCCAGCGCCGCGTTGCTCGCGGGCCTCGTGTTTCCCGGCGCTCCCGGGAAGCCCGTTCCGTTTCCCGCGGCAGAGCCGTGGCACGGAGGTGACGAGATAAATCCGGCTCGTCACCCACCGCCAGCCCCGCGCTCCTGCCGCGCTCACCGGAGCCGGGCTCGCTGCTCAGCCCCCCGGCAGCCGCGGGCAGGGGTGCGGGGCCCTGGGGGTCGGGGTGCTGACCCACCGCCCTCCCTTCCTGCCACCACGCTTTGCCGTGGCACCCATCCACGTGCTGCTCAGAGCCACGTGCACCCCGGGGTGTCCCCCCCCACCCCGGCAGCCTTGGCCCCGCGCCGAGCCCTGCTCCCGGCACCCGCACCGCCTGCCGTGAGGATATCGGCCCGCAGGCACGGCACAAAAACGCCAATTAATTAATTAATGCTATTAATGCCCTCTGCCCCCTCGCTGGAGGCAGTGCCACGCCGCTGCCCCGACCAGGCTCCGAGGGCGCCGGTGCCCGCCCGGCCCCACGGCACATCTCTGGGTGCGCGGGCGCCTGACGCCGTCCCAAAGCCCATCCCCAGCGCTGGGGGGGCTGCAGCTGGGGGGGGGCCAGTGGCAGCTCGGCCCTAGGAGCGTGGCGGGGTGCTCTGCACCCAAGTACACAGCTTGGGGCACAGCGCCTTCCCCCTCGGCGCTGCCCTGGCCCCACGCCCCCCCATTCCCAGGCCCCCTCCTGGGTCTCATTAGCTGATGAGCTCCCGGGTAATGAGTTCTGCGGCCCCGCTGGGCAGCCGCTTCCCACCTCCCTCTTGTTTGGACAAGTGCTGGAGCGCGGCTGGGCCGTGGCAGCGCTGGCCGTGGGGTCAGAGCCGCCCCCCAAGGGAGAACCCCCAGCCCCTCACCCCTCGGGGGAGGTGGGGTCCCCGCACATCCCTCCAGCCTGTACGGATGGAGCACAGGCCGTGGGGCAGGCGTGGCGAGGGCTCCGGGATGGAGCTCGGCTGCAGAGCCGCAGGGCTCCCGACCGCTGCTGGCCAAAGCCCCCCCGGGGGTCTGTGCCCAGCTCGGACCCGTGCCCCCAGGAGCGGCCAGCCCTCCCGCTGAGGGGGTCCCACAGGCACTGCTGGGGGACCTCCCCGGGACAACTTGCTGCTCACTTTGGACCCACCATCCCTGCTCCAGCCCCCCCTGGGGGGGGGGTCAGACATCCGCATGGCCCCCAGCCCTGGCTGGGCACTCTTGTCCCTCCGGCCGGGATGGGGACGGCTGGCAGGGATGGTGCCCAGAGGCTCTGCCCAGCCCAGGGGTGAGTGCCCCAAAAACATCCCAGAAAACAGCCCTCTGCACCCCACCCCAGAGCTGGGCAAACAGCTGCACCCCCCCACTCCCCCCCAGGGCTTCTGCTGTGCCCCCCCCCCAGCCCACACGCACAGGCAGGGTCCCCTGCCCTGGAGCATCCTAAGGAGCTCGGCACCCCACCACGGTGCTGCCCACTGCCTCGGGGACCCCGACAACCAGTCTGGGGTTGGCACCAGCAGGAGAAGCAGCAAAGGGACCCTCAGGTCCACACAGAATGGGGGGGTGGGCACAGCCCAGTGGGTCCCCACAAACACTCGGGCTGTGCCTCCAGCTTCTCCAGAGCATGCCAGGAGCCCGGGGAGCCAGGGCTGCACCCCACAGCCCCACGGGGTCGGGGAGGCTGAGGCAGCACGACCGGGTGCAGGGATGTCTCCCAGGACGGGAGCATACTGGTCCCATTGCCAGCGCACCAGCCTGGCTGCCCATCCCCGCGTCCCGCTGCCCCTCGGGGCAAGCCCAGGACCCCCAGCCGTGGGGCTGGGAGCTGAGCGGAGGACAGGGGACACCCTTGGGTGTCAGGGCTGGCGGCTCAGGGTCCCGGCACTGGAAGGTCAAGGCCCCGCTGCCCGGGGTGCAGAGCGGCGGTGCGGGACGGTGCGGGTCTGGCAGGGCTGGGCGACGCGTTAGCATCTCTCACGGGCGTGTGAATTGGTCCCTGCACACTTCCCAGCGCCGGGCAGCGCCAATTAAGGGTCGGAGGAGTCAGAACTGACACCTCTGCAAATGGGCCCGGCATTCCCAGGCTCCCGGCCGGCCCCAGCCCGGCTCTGTAGGTTTTGACACCTCCAGGCAGGCACAAAGGCGTCACCTCGCACCCCGGCCCCGCATAAAGCCGGGGCTGCCCGGGCACCCCCAGACGCGGGCAGCGGAGCAGACCCCAGCCATGGCCGGACCCCCAGCCCCGCTCCAGCCCCCGCCGGGCCATGCTCTGCTCTGGGACCAGGCGAGGGAGCTCAGCGATGCCACCTCCCCAGCCGCTCCCGCAGAGCCCCCCGCCACATCCCCGTGTCCCCCGCGGGGCCGCCGGCCGGGGTCCGGGGGTCAGCGGGGCGGCAGGGGTGACCCCGGGGGTGCGGGGGGCCCGCGGCAGAGCGCCAGCGAGCGGGAGAAGCTGCGGATGCGGCGGCTGGCGCAGGCGCTGCTGCGGCTGCGGCACTACCTGCCGCCCGCGCTGGCACCCGCCGGGCAGAGCCTCACCAAGATCGAGACCCTGCGCCTCGCCATCCGCTACATCGCCCACCTCTCGGCCCTGCTGGGGCTCAGCGAGGAGGCGCTGGCCCGGCGGCGGGGGGCAGCCCCCCGCCACTGCCCCCTCTGCCCCCAGGGCCTGGGGTGCTGCCAGAGCCCGGCCCCCCGCCTGCGCCCACCGGCCCCGGCCCCTTCGCCCCCCGGCACTGCGGGCTGGGGGTCACCTCCTGCAGCGGGGACCCCCCTGGAGCCGCACGCCACGGGGGCCTGGGGGTCGCCCCCCTGTGGCGCTGCGGCGGGGACCCCCCCGGAGGCGCTTGGGGTTCCTGACATGGGGACGGAGACCTGGGGGTCACCCCCCTACGTCCCTGCAACCGGGACCCCCCCGGAGCTGCACGGGACCACCCCTGGCTCCATCTCAGGGTCCTGGACATCACCGCTGTGCAGCCTCGGAGCTGTGACCCCCCTGGAGCCCCCCCAGAGACGTGCCGCGGCCACAGGCACTGGAACCGCTTCCTCCTGCTGCTTGGAGCCTGCAGCCCCCCGTCAGCCTCCCGGGGCAGGACTGATGGACACAAGGCCCCCCGAGACCCCCACGCGTGGCTACCAGCTGCCGGCACACCACCAGGTACCCAGAGCGCCCTCCCCAGCCCAGCCCCTGCTCCCACACCTCCCCGGGAAGGGGGGTGGATGCTCCTGATGGGGTGCAGGCAGAGCTGCACCCACAAATCCCCCTGCACACAATGGCTGGGGTGTCTGCATGGGCTGGGGGGCACAGGGTGCGGGGCGGGGGGCACGGTGCCATCCCACAGCCGCTCACCTAACGCAGCTCTTTCCGCACAGCTCGGCAGCCCACCGGCCCCGGACAGGCTCGTCTCCCCAGCCCCCCGAGCAGCCCCAGTCCTGCCCACCTGCACCCCAGCACGGCACTGGGGGGGATGGAGCTGAGCCCACACCCCCACCCGCAGAGGCTGCGCGGGGGACAGCGGCGCGGCACAGAGCCGCGCGGGACGGACACCGGGAAAAGGCCCCTCATTAAAGCTGCCGTGCACCGCCGCAACCCGACTCGTTACTGGGGACCCCGCTCGCTGCACCCCAGCACGGGCAGGGTTGGGGTCCCAGGGAACCCCCCCCACACCCACACAGCCAGGTGCTGCCTCCGCGCCGGCGGCTTGGTGCCCCCCCCCCCCCAGCCTACCCTGCCACCCAGAGATGTCCCAGAAGTAGGGTGACAGCAGGACCCACCACCCGGGGTGCAGCCCCACTGAGCCCTGGAGGGGCGGCTCCCACCCCCCCATCGGGTCCCATCCTTCTCCCGCACCCAAAACCCCCACGAGGGTTTGGGACCAGGGCTGCAAGAAACACCCTTGTGCTGCTGGGACCATCCGGCTCCGTCCCTTCCTGACCTGGGTAACCCACGGGGGACAGTCCCCGGGGAAGCCACGGCCCCACTGAGGCACCCCGGCCCCGGAGGGAGGGGGCACGGCAGCCCCCCGTGCGGGGCGCAGGGCTGGGGCTCAGCGGGAGAGCTCGCACGCAGCCGTCAGACAGAGGGGCCGGGGGGGGCTGGCGTCGGCAAAGCCCCCAGAGCCACTTAGCACCAGGCTTCTAACAGCCCCAGGGGGGCTCTGCGGCCCCGGCCCCCGCCCCACGCCCACCGTGGGGTCCTGGGCGCTTCCTGCCCCCCCCCCCCCCCGAGCCGGCATCCCCCCAGCAACCAAGGTGGCCGGTGCAAGCTGCCGTGCAAGCCTTTATTTACACCCCCCCTGGCTTTGCACGATCCTGCAGAGCCCAGCTCTGCCCCAGGCACCGCGGGCAGCAGGGCTCCCCCGCCCCCCCAAAGCCCCCCCCGCCGCCCATCATACAGGCATCAAGCCCGGCCCGCGGGCAGCAGCCCCTGCCCCTCACGAGCGGCAAAAGACCCGGCTGGGCTGGCCAGGGTGGGGGGCACAGGGGCTGCCAGGGGAGAGCGGTTGGGGCTGGAGAGGATGGAGTGAGTGGAACTGGGGAGGGGGCGAGGGTCCGGCCCAGCCGTGGGGCTCGGGGAGCTTCAGGCTTGGCCCCCGCAGCCCCATCCCGTGGCAGCCGGCCCCAGGGCCGGGCCGGGAGGAGGGCGCGCAGCCCCCGGGGCCGCACGGTTAGCTGGCGGCCGTCTCGGCCTGGAACCAGCCCAGCACCGTCGCCTGGTTCTCCTTCACCCAGGCGATGTTGGCGCGGGTCCTCTCCAGCGCCTGCTCCAGCGCCCGCGTCCCCGACCCGAAGCCGATGTCCTCGTTGTCCGCCTTGAACTGCTCCAGCTGACGGGGAGAATTGGAGCTGGAGCAGGGGTGGGGCACCCCGGCCAGCACCCTGACAGCCCCCGGCAGCACCCCACAGCCCCTGGCAGCACCCTGACAGCCCCCGGCAGCACCCCACAGCCCCCGGCACCACCCCACAGCCCCCAGCACCACCCCACAGCCCCTGGCAGCACCCTGACAGACCCCGGCACCACCCCACAGCCCCCAGCACCACCCCACAGCCCCCGGCAGCACCCTGACAGAGCCCAGCACCACCCCAGCAGCCCCCCACAGCCCCTGGCAGCACCCTGACAGCCCCCGGCACCACCCCAGCAGCCCCCCACAGCCCCCGGCAGCACCCTGACAGAGCCCAGCACCACCCCAGCAGCCCCCGGCACCACCCCAGCAGCCCCCCACAGCCCCTGGCAGCACCCTGACAGACCCCAGCAGCCCCCCACAGCCCCTGGCAGCACCCTGACAGCCCCCACAGCCCCCCACAGCCCCCGGCAGCACCCTGACAGAGCCCAGCACCACCCCAGCAGCCCCCCACAGCCCCCGGCAGCACCCTGACAGCCCCCACAGCCCCCCCACAGCCCCCGGCAACACCCTGACAGACCCCAGCACCACCCCAGGAGCCCCTGGCAACACCCCAGCAGCACCCCCCCAGCCCAGAACAAGGCCAGAAGCTGCCCGGAGCCCTGGGCACAGGAGGGGGGCAGGGGCAGGAGCCCCCCCTGCCAAGGGCTGCTGGCAAAGGGCGGGTTGCAAGGTGCTGGCAGCGCAGAGCCGTGGCCCCGCTCCGGCTGGGGCTGGGGTCTCCGGTGCCAGGTCCTGCGGTCCCTGTCAGGGTCCAGCCTCACCTGCTGCAGCTCAAACTCCGTGGAAAACCTCTGGGTCACCGATAAAATCAGCCGGGAGAAGGAGAAGGAGCCGCCGCCGTACCTGGGAGGGCAAAGAGGCAGCTGAGCTGGGGGCCCCGGGCAGAGCAGCACCAGGGGCTGCGGCTGCCCCGAGCCCACAGAGCCAGGGGAGGGATGGTGCCACCCCCCCGAGGGGCACAAGCAGACAAGGGATGCTGCCGGCCCCCCCGCAGCCCCCCGGCGCGGTGCTCACTGGCCAAAGATCGTCCTCCAGTTGCCGCGGATGAAGTCCCAGGCCAGGGGCTGCCCCACCACGTTGCTGGCGATGCTGTTGATGGTGGAGGTGGCATCCTGCTTCCGGATCTTGTTGGGGTCGAGGGTGTATTGCAGGTACCTGGGGGGGACACACGCTGCTGGGTGAGGGGCCGGCGGGGGGCAGAGCTGCAGCACCCACCCGGGCCCCCCCACCCACCGGTTGAGGATCCAAGGAGAGGTGCTGCAGGAGAGGGCTGTGCGGAGCTTGTCGGCCTCGGAGACGACGGTGGCCTCCCTGAACCTCTCCCAGATGAAGTCCCAGGCCTCCTCCCCGCCCGTGGCCACGATGCTGCAGTAGATGGAGGAGCGCAGATTCGGGGGGATCCTGCGGGAAGGAAGAGCCGCCTCAGCCGGGAGCCCCTCGCCGTGCCCAGCCCGCGGCACCCAGGGGACTCACGGGTTCTTGGTGACATTTTTCTGCCACTGGCGGAAGTAGTTGGTGGCCAGGTCCTGGCACTCGACGATGCCGTAGGAGCAGGCGGTGTTGATGGCATTGATCTCGTTGTACCTGGGGAGGGGGCGGCCGTGCAGGGCTGGGGACCAGCACACGGCAGCCGGGGCCACATCCTTCCCCCCCCCCACCCCCCACACGCAGGGGTGACCGTCCCGGTGCAGCTGGGGAGACCCCGGGGGTCCAGCCCAGCCCTGGGGCTGCGGCACTTACTGGTCCATCAGGCCGCTGGGGATGGTGACCCAGTTATTGGTGATGTTCTTGTAGTGGTTGAAGAGGGGCGTCACCTGCTTCTGCACGTATTTCTGGGGGGCAGGAGGACAGTCAGCACGTGGTATCGGCCCCCCGCCCCAGCTCTGGGTGCAGACCCCAGGGCTCCGCTGCGGGGCCCTGCTCACCTTCATCACCCCGAAGACCTCGGTGCGGTCGAACATCAGCTGGAAGTAATGGAGGTTGTTGAGCGCCGCCTCCCAGGGCATGTACGCCGTCTCCCGGCTCAGGAACCGCGTGGTGCTCAGGGCCAAGGTCACGTTCACGTACTTGGCCCTGCAAGGGGTGAGGGCAGCGTCAGCCCCGTGGGGCTCCCGGGGCACCACCCCCCCCCCCCTCCAGCCCCCCCGGCGCAGCTCACCTGGCCAGGTTAAAGGCGTCATCGATGATCTGGGCACGGTTGATCACGGGGATCGCCTGGGAGGGAGCAGAGCCGGCGTCTCAGGGCAGCCCCGAGCTGGGGTGGGGGGGTGGGGGGGGGTGCCCCCCGTACCTGGTGGTCGCTGGCGAGCTGGCCGAGGAGCTGGTCCCAGTTCTCCTGGTTGTAGTTGACGCGGAAATACCCGCTGACGTCCAGGTTCAGCAGGAGCCAGCTGGGGCTGCTCACCTTGAACTGGGTGTTGGTTTCTGGGAGAGGGAGAGAGGGTCTGCCGGAGCCACCCCCTTGCTGGCGAGGGGGGCCAGGCTCAGCTCCCCGCCCCGGGGGACCCCGACCTCTGCCAGGGCAGGGGGGGTGGCACCCAGACCCCCGCGCCCAGCCCAAGCAGGACGCGCCGTACCTGAGACGTTGGTCAGCCAGTACCTGTCCCCGGTGGTATTGTGCGTCATCCAGGTGATGGGGATGATCCAGACGTAGCTGTGCCAGGGACAGGCAGGCAGCGGGATCATCCCCTGCCCCCCCCGGACCCCTCCACCACCACCACTGACAGCCCCCCACCCCACTCACTTGAAGACGGAGGGTCTGTCCACCGTGGAGGTGGGGTCCAGCAGGAAGTGCCTCTGGCTGACGTTGCCGGTGAGGGTGTTGACGGTCACCACGGGGAAGCCCATCTGCAGCGTCCACCGGTCCATGATGTTGCTGATGGAGTCAGGCAGCGAGACGTTGTTCCTCGCAACAGCCTGCGGGGAGGGCAGCGCCGGGGGTCACCGGGGCCGGGGGCGCGGGAGGGGGGCACAGGGCTCGGCCGGAGCTGCACCCCCTCGCCCAGCACCCGGCGGCTGCGTGGCCGGGACCCCATCCCGCCGGGCAGCCCCCCCGGAACCGAGGCAGCAGCGGGGAAGGGGCTGGGTGGGGGGAGCAGCCGGCAGCAGCCAGCCCCCTCCTACCTCTTGCAGATAAAGCCAGAGGTCCGTGTAGACGGTGTTTTTGTAGGCGAAGTTGTGGAGGTAGGACTGCGGGAGAGCACCAGGAGAGACGGGTGGGCAGGGGCAGGTCCGGGGTGCAGGGCACCCGCAGAGCACCCGGGGAGGCCCCTTCCCTGGGGTGCCCCCCCCCGGCACCAGCAGAGCCTCACCTGCAGCCCCTCCCGGAACACGTCCTCGGTGAGGAAGTCGGAGAGCATCCTCAGCACCGACGCTCCCTGCGGAGACGGCACGTCAGAGACCCTGGGGTGCACGGGGCACCCCGCAGCCCCCCCGGCCCCCCCCAGGGCCTCGCGTGCCCACCTTGCTGTAGGCGATGCTGTCGAAGACCTCGCTGATCTGGGCCGGGGTGTTGACCTCGTCCTCGCGGATGGAGAGCGGGTGGGAGGTGGTCAGGGCATCCGTCGCCATCACCGTGTACACCTCGTTCAGCACCATCAGGTCTTTCTGCGGGTGGGGGGGAAGCGCCAGCACCCACCTCAGCCCTGCGGGCACCCCGCTGGCAGCGGGGACAACCGCGGGGGGTGCAGGGGTGGAGGGGGTGCCCCTACCCCCCGCCCGCACCCCCCGGCACTCACAATGTTCCAGGAGGGCTCCACCGAGTTGGCGCCCAGGTACTCCACGTAGGAGGCAAAACCCTCGTTCAGCCACAGGTCGTTCCACCACTGCAGCGTCACCAGGTTCCCGAACCACTGTGGGGGGGCACAGCACCCCGTCAGCCAGCCAGGCCCCGCCGGGCAGCGGGGCGAGCGGGGGGCACGGCGGGTACCTGGTGGGCCAGCTCGTGGGCGATGACGGTCACCACCCGCTCCTTGTTGCCGATGGAGGAGTAGGCATCGTCGAAGAGCAGCGAGTTCTCCCGGTAGGTCACCAGCCCCCAGTTCTCCATCGCGCCCGCGTTGAAGTCGGGGAGGCCGACCTGGTCTGGGGGGGGCGGAGGGGTCCCGTTGGCGGGCGGGTGCCGGGGTGCCGGGGTGCGGCTCGACCCGGCGCCCCGCGCGCCCCGTGGCACCCACCGGACTTGGGCAGTGGGTACGCCGTGTTGTAGTGATTCTCGAAGAAGTTGAGGATGGGGCCGGTCACCTGGAGCGCGTAGCTGCCCTGGCCCTCGGCGATGGCCTTGGGGCGGCCCCAGATGCGAATCTGGCGGGGAGGGACGCGGGGCTCAGCTGCTGCCCAGGCTCAGACCCCCGGGCGGGCGGGGGGGTCCCCCCACCCCCAGCCTACCAGCACGTTCCCCATGTCGTTCTGCACGTAGCCGAACTGGCTGACGATGAAGGCCAGCAGGTAGGTGGACATTTTGGGGGTGGTCTGGAACTCAGTGATGTTCCAGCTCTTCCCATCGATCTTCAGCTCCCGGGTGCCTGCGGGGGAGCAGAGGGAGGGGGGGGGTCACCCCACAGCCCTGCCGGGACCCCGGGCACCCCCCCGCCAGGGCTCCCCCCGCCCCACTCACTCCTGGCAGGCATGTTAGAAATGGCCTCGTGGTCGGAGGGGTGGATCAGCGTCACCGTGAAGTTGGCTTTCATGGCCGGCTCGTCGAAGCAGGGGAAGGCTTTCCGCGCATCAGCCGCCTGCATCTGCGTGGTGGCCACTACCCTCCTGCAAGCCAACCCCGTCAGCGCCCGGGGGGCGGCCGCTGCAGGGGCCAGCACCCCCCCCCGGGTCCCCCCAGTCGCCCCGCACCCTGCCACCTCCCCAGTCCCATCCCCGCTGGGGCGGCATGCGGATGCAGGGGGGCACAGAGGCTCCCCCCCACCCCCTCCCGCCATCCCCTCGCCCCAAACCCAGCCCCCTGCCCTCCACCTACTTGGTTCCTGATGAATCCACGTATTCGCTGCGGTAGAATCCGGCCAGGTCGTCGGCCAGCTCCCCCGTGAAGATGGAGGTGAGCCGGTAGCGGTGGCCCTTCCGCAGCTTGCCGCCCAGCTGCACCACCAGGTACTGGGTGCGGGTCTCCAGCCAGGTCGTGTAGATGGGAGGCACTCTGGAGTTGTTCATCGACTGCAGCGAGACGTGGAAGAGCCCTTGCAGGGTGTAGTTCAGCTTCTTGCTGTGGATGAGGATGAGGTTGGTGGCTTCCGTGCAGGTGAAGACCACGCTGCTGTTGCCCTTGAAGATGTACATGTTGTTGGCGTCGGGCGTCAGGAAGGGCTGCAGGGTCACCTCGTAGGACTCCGGCACCAGCGTCGTCGGCAGCCTCCACCGGTTCCAGGGCTGGACGGGGGTGGCGCTGGTGGTGGGGAGGTCGGTGACCGTGACGGGGGGTCTCTGTGTGGGGGGCTGGGGAGCGGCCGTGGTGGGTCGAGGGATGGCCGTGGTGGTGGTGGTGGTGGTGGTGGTGGTGGTGGTGGTGCCAGCATCCGTCACCTTGTTCTTCTCCTGGGCGTACACCACCGAGAGCGCGATGATGGTGGCCACGGCCCCCAGGGCCAGCACGATGGCCACGATGGCCACGCTCTTGCTGATGAAGAAGCCGGCCGCCATGGCGAGGCTGTAGGAGCGGTGCCCACGAAGGAGGCTCTGCCCGGCTGGCACGGCTTTTAGCCTCTCGCTCTCACGAGGTTTATTAGTCCAAGTTAATGGGTGAAGTATTAAATGACCATAAGGCTCAGGGCGGCAACGGCCCCCGCGATGAGCTTTCCACCCGCCCTCCTCCCAGCCTTGCGGGAACACTAACGCCCAGCGCCGCTGCAGCGGGGGGGTAAATCCAGCAGCTCAGGATTGCACCATCAGGGATGGGCAGCGCGGGAGCGGGCGCGGGCTGCGGGGACCCCCTGGGTCCCTCCCGAGCACCGGCCTGGCCCTGCAAAAGGAGGGACAGAGCAGGTAGTCACAGCCGGTGGCCACATCCCGGGTGGCCCAGGCGCCGGAGCCCAGCCTCTGGCTCAGCATCACCCTGTTTGCCCTCGAGTGATGGGGTCTGAGCTGCCGCCGGGGGGTCCCGGCTGCCCCTCTCCCTGCCAGGGACCCGCTGTCGGGGCCGAGGGCACGGTGGGTGGGGGCCGGCGCCTGGACCCTGGCAGGGGAAAGGAGGGAGGGTGCGGGGGGCAACCCCGGCGGTCCGGGTGGAGCCCGGGATGGTGCTGGGGAGGAGCCCACCCTGGCCCCAGCCCTCTCAAAGTCCAGGGTTGCGTTGCCTGGCTCGCACCCTGGGGTCAAACTCCAGGACCCAGCTCGGGCAGGCATGTGTCACCAGCCACGGGGGACCCCGTGCGGGGCCACGGGCCACGCTCGGCCCTCCCGCCAGCCACGGGGCGAGCTGGGGGTCTCCAATGGCACGGCACACAGCTGAGAGACAGCAGGTCCCGCGGGCACAGCCTCGCCTGCACCCCACGGCGCAGACACCCCCCCCCCCCAGCAAACACACCACAGTTTGGGGTGCTGGCGTGCGGGAGGGGGGCACACGCTTCCCTGTGAGAGCTCTGCCTTGGCGGGGGAGAGCAGCCCGAGCCCCCCCAGGCCGTGCGGGTCGGCCCCGGGGGCCGCGCCAGAGGCAGGGCAGAAAGCCACGGAGCGAAGTCCCCACGCAGGGCAGGGCGGGGAGGTGCTGCGTCTCCCCTGGGAATAGAAACTCCTGTCCCCAGGGTCCGACCTCTCCAGCTGGGAGACGTGGGCAGGTCGCGCAGCTCTGGGCCAAGGGGTGAACCCCGGGGGGAGGCTGAGCAGCGTCGGGAGGGACCCGTGCCCTGTCCCCAACAGCACCCAGCTGCACCCACCGGCATCACTGCACCCGGCAGAGCATCCCCGAGCCCAACCGGCCCCACGGCCCGGGCGCGGGGGGGCCTGCAGCGTGGGCTCACTCTGCCCCAGCCCCTGCCCTCGCTCGGGCCGAAGGCGCAGAATTCGGGGAGCGGCGAGCGCCAAATCACAGCTGGGACGGCTCCCCCCGGGGACAGGGGCCACTGCCAGCCAGGGGGGTGCGGGGCACCGCGCACCGCTGCGTCCCTGCCCGGCGGCGACCCCCCCTCACCCTTCGGGTACAGCGTGAAGGCACTGACCCCGGCTCCCCCCCACGCATTTCTCCCCCGTTAACACCAGCCAGCCCCTGCCCCCTCCCTGAGCCCCCTCCCCAGGCTGCCCGCACCCCCCCGGTCACCCCACACCCCGACTCCCCCAGACCCAGCACACGCAGGCTCCTGCCCACCCCCCACACACACAAAGTCTCCCCCTCCGCAGAGCCCTCGCTGACGGTGCACACGCGTGCCCCACGTCCCACACGCGTGCCCCACATCCCACACGCGTGCCCCACGTCCCACACGCGTGCCCCACGTCCCACACGCGTGCAACACTCAGGGCACAGAGGTTGGGCGTCACCCACATGGACACGCAGCTCCCTCGAGGCCCTGGCCCCACGCACCCCATAACCCGACACGCACACACACACACACACATCCCACAGCCTCCCAGAACATCATGCACCCCCAGGGACCCCCCCAAAACCCCCCCATCACTTATGGGCCCCATAGCCCCCACGCACATGAACCCCTGCAAGCACCCACACAGCCCCTTCCCCCCTCAGCCCAAGCGTGGGGACCCCCAGGACCCCCCGGCTGGGGCTCTGCCCCCCCGTCCCCTCCCGGGGGTTTGGGCAGCGGCATCGCCCCCCACTCACCTTCCTGCGCTCAGCCGCGGGGAGCGGGGGGCAGCGAGGGTCCTGCCCGCCCCATCCCCACCGAGGCACCCGGCTCTGCGCCCTGCCTGCCCCCGGCTCCCGGCCGCCCCAGCTCCGCCAGCTCAGCCGCCAGCGGGAGGAAAGTTTCCTCCGAAAGCTCCAAGGGAAGTAACCTGAACCTCCTCGCCCCCTTAACCCCTGGGCTGCTGGCCGGCCCGGGGCGGGGGGCGCCGGGGGGGGGGGACAGAACCCGGCCCCACCGTGGGCTCCCACACGCCCGGCACACGGAGATGGCGAGGGGTCTCTGCTGGGGGATGGTGCCTCCGGCCCTGGGCAGAGCGGGACCCCCCCGGGGCTGCGGGACCCCCCCGGGGCTGCGGGACACTCCTGGGGCTGCGGGACCCCCACCCCCAACCGCAGCTGGGAGCCGTTAGTCAGGGATGGATGCCCACCAGCCCTACGCAGGTTGGGGTCTGCGGTGCAGCCCGCCCTCGCCCACCCGGCCCCTACACCCCGGAGCACCCCCAGGGTCTTGCTGGGGTTCCCCCCCACACACCAACGCTAGCCAGCACACTCACCACGGCGGGGGGGGGGGGATGTGACAAGAAAGGGGACAAACCACCACCCAGCAGCAACCAAGCCAGGCTGTGCGCCCTCCCCCCAGCACCCAGGAATGGTGTCCCTGCTTGGGGGGTGCCCCCTGCTCAGCCCCCCCAAGCTCAGCACCCCCTGCCCCGGCAGCGGTGGGTTCAGAGGCGTCCTGGTCCTTGTGAGCAAGCTGCGGGGCTGTGGTGGGGGGCACAGACGGGTTTGCTGGGTGCGGCACCCCAAGGCAGCCGGGCCCCGGGGTCTCACCGCACGGGGGGTGACCCAGCACGGGCACGGGCTCGCCTGGTGCCTGGCAGGGCGAGGGTAAACGTTTGCCTTACCCCACGGCTGGGCCGGTGCCAGGCTCCATCGCTCCCCTCCACCCCCGGGGGGGGGGGCCTGGAGTTGGGGGACACGCTCCGGCAAGCAAACCCAGGCTGAGCTCAGCAAGACCCAGCGCCCACCAGTGCCAAAGCACGGCCTGGCTGGGGACGGAGCCAGCCCCAAGCCCCAGTCACATCTCCCACCTCCGGGCCACGCAGGCAGCTCAGACAGGAGAGCACTGAGCCCCCCATGGCACCCCCTGCCCCCCATGTCCCCCTCCCCCTCACCTCGGGGTGCAGGAGGGCTCTGGTGACACAGCCACCACTGCTGCCGCAGCGGGAGCCAGCGCTCACCCCCGGTACAGCCTCCCCACAGCTCTGTCGGGTCACTTTGGGCTCCTGTCCCTGGGCAGCCCCCCGGGGTCCCTGGGCAGCCAGGGCTTGCAGGGCCACCCCTGCCCCGGCCAGGCTGGGCTGCTCCCGCACAGCCCCATGCCCACTGGGGCCAGGGCTGCAGCCCGCTTGGATGGGGAAATGGGGGTCCAGGGGCTTCATAGACTCATGGAACGGTTTGGGGTGGGAAGGGACCTCAAAGCCCCCCCAGTGCCCCCCCCTGCCCCGGGCAGGGCCCCCTTCCCCCAGCCCAGGGGGCTCCCAGCCCCGTCCAACCTGGCCTTGAACCCTTCCAGGGAGGGGGCACCCACAGCTGCTCTGGGCACCCGGGGCCAGCGCCTCACCCCCCCCCCCCCCCCCCCAGGGAACAATTTCTGCCTTAGATCTCATCTAAATCTGCCCTTTTTCAGTTTAAAACCGTCCCCCCCTGTCCTACCCCCACCCCCTGACCCAGAGTCCCCCCACCTCTCCTGTCCCCCCTTTAAGCCCTGGGAGGCCGCTCGAAGGTCCCCCCGGAGCCTTCTCTTCTCCAGGCTGACCCCCCCAACTCTCTCAGCCCGGCCCCCCAGGGGAGCTGCTCCAGCCCCCCCAGCATCTCCGTGGCCTCCTCTGGCCCCGCTCGAGCAGCTCCGTGTCCTGGCTCACCCCGCGTGAACCACTCCACCATCCCTGCCCTCTTCCACACGGGCGAGGGGCCGGCCCTGCCCCAGCACGGGGGTCCTTGGCCCCCCCCAGAGCCGAGGCGCCGGCAGGACACGGGAAGGGGCAGCGCGGGGGGGGGGCTGCGCACCAACCTCCTCGCTGCAGAGGAAGCACGTGTGGCCGGACACATCCTGCACCGGGGAGTGCTGTGCCACGGCGCGGGGCTGGGCGCAGGCACCCATCGCAGCCAGTGCTGCCCGACCCCCCCGGCACCCCCCTGTCCCGGGCCGAGATCCTCGCCACGGGGCAACCTGGAGTTTTCCCCTCCGGCCACGCCGGTGCCTGCCGCACCCCGTGTCCCAGCCCCAGGACATCACTCACCGGGCTCCTTCCACCCCAGCGCTCCGGCAGCCGACCGGAGGAAGAGGAGGATGGCTGGCGGAGAAGAGGAAGAAGCAGGTTGCCTGGCTCTTTGACCTCCCCAGGGCCACTGGCCATGGCTCGTGGCCAGCTGGGGAAGGGTTAAGCAGGGAGGCGAGACGGCAGGAAAATTCCTTCCAGGCAGAGTCACAGTTTCCCTGCCAGGGGAAGTGGAGGCAGAGCGGGAGCCCGGCCGCGCCGGAGGGGAAGCAGAGGAAGGGGCCCCGAGCCAGCCCGGAGGCTGGTGGCCAGATGGAGCCGTGGCCGAGCCAAGGGCACGGGGCACCCAGCTCGAGGAGCCCCGCTGCCCATCCCGGCCCCCGCAGCCACGCTCAGCCTGACCCCCAGGACCAGCCCCGCTCCCCCCAGACCTCGGGGTGGGGGGGGACACACCAGCCTCAGCGTCTCCACATGCCCCCCAAGGCGTGCGGGGCCAGAGAGAAGGCAGGAAAGCTGGCGGGAGGGCTGCGAGCACGGCAGGCTGCAGGCTGGCGACCAAAGGCCCAGAGCAGGGGACACCACTGTCACCCCCCCACCGCGGCCATCGTGCCCCTGCTGCCTGCTCCGGAGCGCAGGGCAGGGTGCAGGCAGGGAGCCCACGCTGCAGCAACCCCGGCCCTCCCCCGAGCGGGGTCCAGGGCCCCTTTTCCCACCCCCCTGCAGCAGCCAAGAGCCCCCGGGGGGCTGCAGCTGCCCCAGGCCCCTGCAGCCCCCCCCCAGTGCTGCCTCCGGGGCCGGGCCAGCAGCAGACACAGGCGAGGGTTCACACGGTGGTTTATTAGGACGCAGGGACACGCTCCAGCCTGGCCGGGCCCCGGCAGAGCGCCGGCAGCTCCCAGCCCAGCAGGTACCAGCCTCGCTGGTACCCACCCCAGCTCGGGGTGCCAGATCCAGTGGGCAGGAACAGGGTGGATGCGGGGACACTGGGCAGGGGACTGCCCAGCCCAGGGGGGACGGAGGAGACCACAAGCCTTCAGCTACAGGTGCATTTTTACAGCTGGGAATCCCAAGAAGTGCTGGGAGAGGCAGGAGCCAGCTCTTCCCCCCAGGGCGAGGAGAGAGGCTGCGTGTCCACGGGGAAGGAGAAGGGAAGGGAAGAAAGGGCGCTCTTGTCGTCGGGGCACGAAAGAGCAGAACCGAGCCGGGGTGCACGGTGATGGAGGGGCTGACAGCACCACCACCACCGCTCCCTCCCCTCCGCCAGCGGCAGCACTCCGGGCTCACCGTGTGCTGCGTGGGCAGGGGCCTGGAGGGGCAGGGGGGGCCCCACGGCGGCCAGCCCAGGCCCCAGCCCGCCGGCGCGGGCAGCCCTCCCCGCCACGGGACGCTCACATGAACTGCGACAGGTTGGGCACTTTGATGTTGATGTCGCCGATGTTGATGTTGCGAGGGATCTCGGGCAGGTTGATGTTCTTCACAGCCGAGACCGCGCGGGAAGGAGCAGCCGAGAGGCCGCCCTGCTGACGGGGAGGGGGGAGCAGTGACCACCAGCCCCTCGCCCCCACAGACCCCCCCCGCGAGGGGCTCCCGGCTCAGCCCCGCGCTTTGCCGCAGGAGCATCCCCGAACCGAGCCCTGCTCCGTGCTGCCCTGCCTCCCCCGAGCCCCAGGGCCCGGCCGTGTGTCCCCCCCCTCCCAGGGCTCAGCTCGGCAGCACCCGGGGAGCAGCCCCCACCCCGCCGATGGGCCCGTTTCTGTTCACAGCTCGGGATCGGGAGCGGCAGGGCCGGCACGACGCTTCCCTGCGACCAGAGCGGAGCTGCGTGCTCACGACGACAGCGCAAACAGGGGCAATAAACTTTTCACTCCCTCGGGTTATTAACCTTGGTGGGAACAGCCGTTTCCATGCTCGGGCTGCTCCTAAGCAGCATGGAGCATGGCTGGGGAGGGATGGCCCATACGGCTCCCCGAGGACTCAGGCAGGCAGAGACTGGGGGTACTGGGGACACCCCCTGAGCACCCAGTAAGTACCTCAGCCTCCTGTGGGGCAGAGCTGCAGCACCGCCACTCACCTCCGCCTTCTCCAGCTTGCTCTGGGCCTCCACCTGCGCCACGATCTCGTTCATGTTGGTCTCCAGCACCATGCCGCCTATCACCACCTCCTGCAAGATGTGGTGAACCTGCGAGGGAAGGGATGGGCAGAGGGAGGGCTGTGAACCCAGCCCAGCTCACGGGCCGGCCGGGGGCAGCGGCGGCCACCGTGCTGGCATGGAAGTGTGTCAGGGGCTGACATTTCTTCCCCCGAAGAGACACAAATCCAGCCCCGTCCCCCCCTCAGCCCGTGGTCCGCGGCACAGCCCCACTGCCTGCCCTGCCCCTGCTCCAGAGGACACCTACCCCGGGGGCCGGAGCGAACGTCGCCCACCAGAGCAGGGCAGCCCCCAGAGAGGCCGGGACCAGCCCGGCTCGCCGGCACACGCTGGCTGCACCACCTCTGACACCTCGAGCTGAAGTCTGATCCCTCCCTGCGCCGGGATCGGGGTCGCACCCAGGAACAGCCCCCTGCCTAGAAAGTGTGCTGGGGAGGGGCCCCCCGGGCAGCGAGGACCCCCCCCGGGCAGCGGGGACCCCCCAGTCTCCCAGAGCTGCTTCTTCCCAGGACGAGTTTCTTCTCCCCAGAAAGCCAGGCCAGAACCCAACTGCTTTGCTTTCTCTTAGGAAAGACAGGATTGTGACACACGCTCGGAAAAAGCACAGAACTGCTGAGAGAGCCTGCTCCCTTCCCCAGGCTCTGCCCGGCTCCAAGGATGAGCCAGACAGGCTCAAGGCAGCGAGCTGCTCCCTCCTGCCAGCCCCCTCCACGGCCGAAGCAGGAGAAAGGGCTCACTGTGATGTGCAATCCAAGAAGAGGCGCACCTTGGGCTCCACCGCCCCGCTCAGCCCAGCCTTCCTTGCTAAGTCAGCAGCTCCCAACAACCACCCAGCACAGATAATGAGTTTATAGGTCTCTGGTTCCTTCCGTGAAATAGGCTATTACTGCGAGGTGGTGCAGTTATTATATCGTTTTATGGCTTCACGAGGGCAGGTTGCACTTGTAAAATCTGTGTGGCACACAGTGCCGGGGCAATGCTGTGGAAAATAAAGCGAGCTACAGAACCCGCTAGAAGGGGGGGGAACCCGGCTTTGTGCAAGCAGCGAGCCCGATGCCCCCACAGGGCTCCCCGGGGGTCCCATCCTGCTCCAACGGCGCCAGGAGCGGAGGGTGTGTGGGGTCAGCACCGCAGAGGGTGAGCCACGGGCGACGCAGCATCTTCCTGGGACGCCCGCGGCACCAGGACCGCTGTCCCGCAGCACGGCCTCAGCCCAGCCCCGGCAAACACCGCACCCGACGGTGCTGGCAGCTCCCCGCAACGGGACAGCATCTGGGCCGCAGGAAACCTTGCTCCTTCGAGATCTGGCTTCAGCCCGAGTTGGACCAAGCCCAACAGGGCAGAAATCCCAAGCAATCTTTGTTATCCAAACCGAAACACAGAACTTCCTGGACAAACCATGTCCTCTCCGGGACCTTGCAGCTGCTGACTGAAACTCACATTCTCCTCCAAAGTACGAAGAACAACCAGGGGTTGGGCAGGAGCCTCCTCTGAGCCTCCCCACGGCTTCGTGGCTCCCCTTGTGAAAGGGGGATCCCCGCAGCTCTGAGGCTGCTGCTCCCAAAGCCGACGGCCTAAAAGCACTGGTGTCACCGGTGCCCGAGAACCACAGTCCCACCCAGCTGCCCGCTGCGAGAGCGGGGACCCAAAACCCACCGCAGCTCTCATTTCACGGCCCCTGTGCTGCACAAGGTGTATCTTAAAGCCACAACAGAAAAAAAATCACGAAGGCCAAGCCGCCCCCAAATCCCAGCCAGAACCCGCTGGGTCGGGGGTGTCGACAGCCAGAGTCCCCCCTCGACAAACCGGCGCTTGGTGCCCGGCCTCGTTTCTCACCAGCTCCGCGGGGCAGAGGGTCGCAGGGCGCCCTGCACGGCTCCTGCCGGACACAACGCCCGGGGCAGGCTCCACGGGAGCGCTGGGGCAGCACCACAGGGCAGAAAGCCCTGCCCCAGCACCCGGGGGGCCAGACCCGGCCACCGCCGGCACACGCCCGCGGGCCCCCAGCACCCCCAACGCTGCCCGCCCGCGACCAAGCTCCTGGAAGCACGGGCACACTCGACAGCAGCACACTGAAAAATAAACCCGTGCCAAATATAGAGACGAGGGGAGCGCCTGATAGCGGCCAAGGACTGAAGTCAAGGCTGGGAAGCAGCAGGAGCACAGGGCGGGCAGTAAACAAGCCTGACTGGTAGGAGAGCCCAGGGGCGACCGAGCCCGGGGTCTCCCCGGTGAGAAACCCTCCTGAGCCCCGTCTCCTTCGAAGCCTTTGCCTGGCAGGAGAGTTCAGAAGAAGGGCAACCCGTGCTGCCGCTGGCAAACCAGAAAGCGACAGGGTAACCGCTTCTGCCGGGGGCTGCGGACTGAGCGTAAAGCTGCCGGCTCTTGGTCACGCCACAAAATAAGGAACCGGGAGCGCATCCTCCCCGGCTGGGGCCAGAGGTGCCCCGGGGGGGCTGCCGTCACTGCTCCCACAGGTGCCCCTCCTGCCTCCCTCCTTCCCCTCCTTTTGCTCGCTTTGATAAGAACAATTTTTCTGATGAGTTAATCAACAGTGCAACATTCCTGAAAGTTTACAGCTGGGCAAATTATGAAACCAAAGTCTTATTTCATCAGTTGCTAGTACATTCAGCTGATCCAGCTCACTTTCTAAGAAGATTTTCTAACGCCATTTCTCTGCCAGAGTTCCCAAGTTGGAACCGCCGACAGAAATGGAACATTTTACAGCCTTATTGATTTTTTCACACTCCTCTTTTTTGTTGGCGCGTTTTGTCTTCAACAAAGCAAGAAAACCCTTATCAACAGCAGCACAAGTCCAGCACACGTCAGCTAAATTCTCCTTTCTCCGAGCATAATCCCGGCTATCTTCAGCCCCATCTATGAGACCATCAGAGAGGATAGGTTCCCGCCCAGAAACCCAGTCCAGCTGAAGAGAAGTCATTAAAGGCTGTGGCTCAAATGAAAGTTTACCGAGCACTTTGTGTTCCAAACACTCCCATTGTTCCGTGCCTTTTTTCTCCTGCAGCTCTAGCAAAATGCTAGCAGGACCTCCAGCAGGTCCCACAGTAGAGGGAGTAGAGGCAGAACGCCCCTGCACAGCACCAGAGCCTGCCCAGCTCCAGCCCACGCAGGCTCGGCTCTCCCGTCGGGAGGGCACGACGTGAGCAGCTTACCCCAGGCTGACCACTTCCCCGCCCGGGATTTCACTCTCCCCCCCAAGAAGTGAGGCCCGACCGTGCTGGCATCCTGCCCCCCCAGGCACCAGAGCTCCCGCCCGCGGGCGCGCAGGCACGGGGCTGGCCCGGAGGAGCGCCCAGAGCCACGACCCACCTTGTCCATGTGGAAGATGAGGTCCAGCTCACAGACGTTCTCAAAGCACTTGTCCAGCGTCTCCACAAACACCTGAGGCGGCAGGAAGGGAAGGTCAGCACAGAAGACACCCCCCCCCCCCCCCAGCAAGATGCGGAAAAGCCGCAGCCCCCACCAGAAACCCGCTGTGCCCCGGGGTGTCACCCCGAGCGGGGACAACACCCTCCCAGCCACCCCCACCTCCCGTCGGCGGCAGGAAAGTGCTGGTCCCCGGGTCAGAGACAGGCGGGCCCGGCCCGCGGGCTGCCCGGGACCCCCAGCACGGCAGCAGCAGCGCGGGGTCGGGGGACTGCGGGGCGGGCACCGGTGGGCAGCCCTCACGACACCACAAAACCCAGCTGGGGAAGCCCGGGAGACGGCGAGCGTGTCCTGGGTGAGGGGCTGCAGCTGGAAGGAGAGCCTGGGCGCGGCGGCTCGAACCGGGCAGCGTTGGGGGGCTCCCGCTCCGGCCAGCTCCCCCGCAGCAGCGGTGCGTACCCACTCGCTGCTGTCTTCAGGCGCTGCCCGCACCCCCAGAACCCTGCTCAAGCGGCCCAGCACAAGGCGAAGGGCAGCAAAACACAGGACGCGGGTGACCCGAGCAGGGCAGGGTGACCCCGTCCCGTGCCAGCGCCCCCCCGCCTGCCGTCAGCCAGATCTAGCAGAGGTCCCTTCACAAGTCCATGCAGCGTCTGAACACAACTTTTAAAAGGGGCGTGTAGCTCTGGGTCCCTCGCTGCGAGACGGACACTGAGGGGCTGGAGCGTGTCCAGAGAAGAGCAACGGAGCTGGGGAAGGGTCTGGAGCACTAAGTGCTGCGAGGAGCGGCTGAGGGAACCGGGGGGGGTTCAGCCTGGAGGAAAGGAGGCTGAGGGGAGCCCTGGTGGCTCGCTACAGCGACCTGAAAGGAGGGTGCAGAGGGGTGGGGGTGGGTCTCTCCTCCCCAGTAACAAGCAAAAGGACAAGAGGAAACGGCCTCAAATTGCATCAGGGGAGGTTTAGATCGGGTATTAGGAAAAATGCCTTCAGTGGAGGGTTGCCAAGCACTGGAACAGGCTGCCCAGGGAGGCGGTGGAGTCACCACCCCCGGAGGGGTTTGCAGGATGTGTAGATGTGGCGCTCGGGGACACGGTTTAGTGGTGGAGTTGGCAGTGCTGGGCTCTTTTTTTTTGTTTGCTGGCGATACCAAACCGAGAGGGGAAGTGGACTCTTGGGAAGGGAGAGCCATCCTGCAGGGAGACCTGGACGGGCTGCAGGAGGGGGCTAACAAGAACCTTATGAAGTTCAACAACAACAAGGTCTTGCACCTGGGAAAACGTAACGCAGGAGGAATTAGAGCAGACCTTATCCTCATGTTCCGGTATTTAAAGGGCGGCTGCAAAGGAGATGGAGACACCCCCTTTACAAGGAGGCACACGGAGAAGTGGAGGGGTGACGGGCACAAGTGACTCCTGGGGAGATTCTGACTGGACACGAGAGGAAAACGTTTCCCCATGAGAACACTCAGCCGCTGGGATCACCTCCCCCGGGAAGCGAAGCGGCGGATTCCCCAGCACTGGGCACTTTGAAGATCCAGCTGGACGGGGGGGCTGGGCCAGCTTGTCCAGACCGGGCTTTGCCAGAAAGGCTGGGCCAGCCGACCCCTGGGGTCCCTTCCCCCTGGACTATGTATGACTGCACGATCACTGTATACGATTGTAAGATTAACGGTTGGACTTGATAGTCTGAAGGACCTTTTCCAACCTCCGTGATCCTATGATTCTACTTTTTAAAGAAATCCACCCAGGGTTGACTTCCTGCCGCTGGTTCCAGGTGGAGGAGCCGTGTTTGGGCTGGCGCGCCGGCAGCTCCCCCTCCCCATCGCAGCCCCCTGGGCGGCTCCCCGGTCGCTGCCGGGAGGCACCGCAGGCACTGAAAGGTGTCGGGGGCCGGACTGTGCCTCGGGGAGAGGTCCCCACCGGCCGCCCTCAGGCAACGGACCCCCCCCCCCCGGCAGAGAGAGAGACCCACCTGGATGAGGTCCAGGATGCCCAGCTCGCTCTCTGAGGAGTCCACGCAGAAGACGAAGTACAGCGTGGCGTAGTGGCGGTAGATCAGCTTGTAGTCCGAGCCCCCGAACAGGCTGCGGAGACACGAGAAGGGGCGATGGGCTATGAGGGCGTGGGGACACGTAGCCCAGGCGCCGCCCCGGGGCGAGGGGACAGCCCTGCGCGGCCCCCTCCTCGCCCCGCAGGAGGGGCAGGGGGTTACCTGCCGCACTCGAGGAAGTTGCAGATGTGGTCGTCGCGCTTCAGCACCAGGTGGAAAGTCTCGCGGATGATCTGCTGCTGGACCTCCTCTGCCTGCACCGAGCCGAGGGGAAGCGCCCGTGGGGTGCGCGGCCTGGAGGGCCCACGCCCCCCTGCTCTGCCCCACGGGACACCGCGAGCTGGCAGCTCCGGGACACCCCAACCCATGGCCGAGCCCCCCGGACACCCCAACCCGTGGCTGAGCCCCCCGGACACCCCAACCCATGGCTGAGCCCCCCGGACACCCCAACCCGTGGCCGAGCCCCCCGGACACCCCAACCCATGGCCGAGCCCCCCGGACACCCCAACCCATGGCTGAGCCCCACGGACACCCCAGCCCCAGCCCCATGGACACCCCCAACCCTGGCCAAGACCCCCGGACACCCCAACCCCACCCGAGCTCCCTGGACACCCCAGCCCCAGCCGAGCCCCCAGATACCCCAACCCCAGCCCCCGGACACCCCCAGCCCCACAGACACCCCAACCCCCTCCAACCCCGGCTGGGCCCCCAGATACCCCAACCCCATGGACACCCCAACCCCACTCGAGCCCCATGGACTCCCCAGCCCCAGCCCCACGGACACCCCCAACCCTGGCCAAGACCCCCGGACACCCCAACCCCACCCAAGCCCCCTGGACACCCCAGCCCCGGCTGAGCCCCCAGATACCCCAACCCCAGCCCCCGGACACCCCCAGCCCCACAGACACCCCAACCCCCCCAACCCCAGCTGAGCCCCCAGACACCCCAACCCCAGCCCCACCAACCCCAGCCCAGCCCCCGGACACCCCCAACCCTGGCCAAGACCCCCGGACACCCCCAACCCCGCCCGATTCCCACAGACGCCCCCAGCCCCCCCGCCGGGCTCAGGGACCCGCTGCCACCCACCCGTGTCCCCGTGTCCCCCGTGTCCCCGGCCCCGCACCAGGTGCTGGTAGAAGCGGACAAGCCGCGGCTTGCCGTGGTTGTTGAACACCAGGATGGCGTTGATCATCCCGGCGGCGGGCCGGGAGCGGCACCGGGAGCGGCACCGGGAGCAGCACCGGGAGCAGCACCGGGAGCAGCACCGGGAGCGGAGCGGGAGCGGAGCGGGAGCAGCACCGGGAGCGGCACCGGGAGCGGAGCGGGAGCGGAGCGGGAGCAGCACCGGGAGCAGCACCGGGAGCGGCACCGGGAGCGGAGCGGGAGCAGCACCGGGAGCGGCACCGGGAGCAGCACCGGGAGCGGCACCGGGAGCAGCACCGGGAGCAGCACCGGGGCGGCAGCAGCAGCAGCCCCCCCGCAGGAAGCCCCTCGCCCGCCCCGGGAACGCGACGGCGGGCAGCGGGGCGGCGCTGGGGCCCGGCCCCCGGCGAGCCGAGCCCGGGGCGACCCCGGGACGCGCAGCACCGGGGCACGGGGACCGGCGCGGGGGGGATGCTCAGAGCCGCTCCCGGGCGGGGACGCAGCCGCTCCCCCGCTTGCCAAGACCGGGGGCTCCCCGGGGCCGGGCTGCGGGACCGAGGCCCGGCCCGGCCCTCTCCGGGACGGCGATAACCACCGGGGCAGAGCGGGGAGGGGGCAGCCGGTCCCGGCGACCCGCAGCGGGGCCGGGCGCGGGCAGGCCGAGAGCCGGGATGCCGCTGACCGGGACCCCGGAGCCGGGAACGCGCTGACCGAGGGCCCGGGCCTGGAACCGGCACCGACACCGGAACCGGAACTGGAACCGGCACCGGAACCGGCACCGGCAGCGGCCCCGCCCGCGCCGCCAGGGGGCGCACCAGCCCCAGCGAGCGGGGCGGTGCGCGGAGGGGGCGTGGCCACCCTCCGCAGGGGGTGGGGCTCGGCGTCAGGCCACGCCCCCTCTTAAAGCGCCGGCGCCCCCGTTTGGCCCCGGGCTGGGGGGGTGACGGTTGGTGGCGGGCGGGGGCTGCGGTGTGGGCGGCGGGAACGGACCCCGGCCTGGCCCGCCCCCCCCCCTCTCCCCGCGGCTCAGTCCCGCCGGTCCCTGCCCCACTGCCCCTGCCCCACTGCCCCTGCCCCACTGCCTGCTGCCTCCTGCCCCACTGCCCGCTGCCCCACTGCCCGCTGCCTCCTGCCCCGCTGCCTCCTGCCCCACTGCCCGCTGCCCCACTGCCCGCTGCCTCCTGCCCCGCTGCCTCCTGCCCCACTGCCCGCTGCCCCACTGCCCGCTGCCTCCTGCCCCACTGCCCGCTGCCCCGCTGCCTCCTGCCCCACTGCCCGCTGCCCCACTGCCCACTGCCTCCTGCCCCGCTGCCCGCTGCCCCGCTGCCCGCTGCCCCACTGCCCGCTGCCCCACTGCCCGCTGCCCCACTGCCCACTGCCTCCTGCCCCGCTGCCCGCTGCCCCGCTGCCCGCTGCCCCACTGCCCGCTGCCCCGCTGCCCGCTGCCCCACTGCCCGCTGCCCCGCTGCCTCCTGCCCCACTGCCTGCTGCCCCACTGCCTCCTGCCCCACTGCCCGCTGCCCCACTGCCCTGCCAGCCCCTGCGCCACTGCATGCCACCCCACTGCCTGCTGCCTCCTGCCCCACTGCCTGCTGCCCCACTGCCTCGCTGCCTCCTGCCCCGCTGCCTCCTGCCCCACTGCCCGCTGCCCCACTGCCCTGCCAGCCCCTGCGCCACTGCATGCCACCCCACTGCCTGCTGCCTCCTGCCCCACTGCCTGCTGCCCCACTGCCTCGCTGCCTCCTGCCCCGCTGCCTCCTGCCCCACTGCCCGCTGCCCCACTGCCCTGCCAGCCCCTGCGCCACTGCATGCCACCCCACTGCCTGCTGCCTCCTGCCCCACTGCCTGCTGCCCCACTGCCCGCTGCCCTGCCAGCCCTGCCCCGCCAGTCCCTGCCCCGCTGCCCCACTGCCTCCTGCCCTGCTGCCCACTGCCCCACCGCCCCACTGCCTCCTGCCCCGCCAGTCCCTGCCCCACCAGCCCCTGCCCTGTCCCGGCAGGAGCTGCTGGGGGGGCAGTGACCCCCCCCAAGCCCACCGTGCGCTCACAGCCGGGCCGCCGAGGGCTTTACAGGACACTCAGCTGCCTGCCAGCTCCCCCCGAGCCCCTCGGGACCCGCCGGGGTGCCCAGGGGGCTCCGGTCCCGGCCTGGGGGGCTGCTGGGGGCCGTGGCTGCTCCTGCGGGCTCTCCCCCCTCCAGGTAAACCTCCTGCTGCAGCATGGCTGGGCCGAGCTCAGCGTGATGGGTGTTTTTTAGGGGGCTGCCGGCCTTGGGGTGTCCTCAAACCAGAGCTTCGTCCAGGTGCTCGGCCGCAGAGGGTGGAGGGGCTCGCACCCCGGGAGGGGGTGACCCCCCAGGAACGCTAACCCCCCATGGGCCCTGCCCGCAGACAAACAGTTGCCAGATTGCCGAGTAATTCGATCGGTGTAAGGGTTGTTTTGCAGAGGGAAGGGAGGAAAAAAAATCACGTACGACAATTGCAGGTTGCAGCAGCTGCTTTTTAAGGACCTGGAAATCAAAAAGCAAACAGCAAAGGGCGTGAGATCCCAGATTAACGTAAAGGAATCGCACAGGCAGGTAGGGTGTGTATGGGAATGTTGTTTTCCCATGGCGAGCCTGGTAAGGGTGCAGGGGCTTAAACGCCTGGCTTTTGGTTAAAGAACGAGTGATGTGTGTCGCTGGCGCTAACATACTAACTGGAACAGTCGGAGGTAGCTGGAGACACCGAAAGGCGTGGGGACCCCGCACGTGTGAACGCCCCCCCTTAGCACGCTTGCTTAATGAGTTCACGCATATTAACTGCTCCGCCCTGGGCGGGGCTAAGGCTCCTGTTACTGAACATGCCAGGAACATACGTGCAGAGGCGTGTCGGCAGGCGGTCCGGGGAGCCTGCACGCCCTGGAGTACTCGGCACAGGAGGGGTCGGGGGAGGGAAAAGGGCTACAGCCCATCGCCTGGCGTCCACTCGGGGCGTCCCCCGGTCTTGCAAGAACGAAATAAAATGTGCTTCACGGGTGAGACCTGCCGGGGCCGCTGGCGGTTGAGTTTTGCTCGCAAATTGCGGGGGCTCGTCCGAAGTCGTTGCCTGGGGGTCTCCACCACTGAGCTCGACGGTCTCGCAAATTGTCGGCGGTGACTCCACGGGGACCGGCTGGGATCCTGAGGCCCGTAATATAGACAGGCCTTGTGAGCTGCTGGGGGGAAGAAGGATAAAAAAGGAGAAGGGAGCCCTGGAAAGCGCTATCAGACCGGGCAACTCTGTGCACAGACCAAGGTAAGGAAATTGGACCGTTAAGTATTGCCTCGGCGGTCAGGGATGCTCAGGAGACGTAAATTAGTACAAAGCGATCCGGATCTGCAGTTCTGTTCTTCCGCAAGAAAAACAGCCAGAGAAGGACGAAGCGGGAGGATAGAATGGCAGAGTCTCGGGAGAAAAATGGGGAACAAGAATACTAGGCCAAGGGAAAATTCGGAGAAAGTCTCTGAAAGTATTTCTCCAGACAGTCCGTTAGGGAGGGTGTTGATAGGATGGAAGGACATCCCTTGTACGAAGGGAAGGGATTAAAAAAAGGTGATAAATTATTGTGGTTTTGTTTGGACAAAGGAACCCACTTTGAGATGTAAGGTTTTTCACCAAAATATAGGTCAACTGATGACTGGTCACGTCAGGACTTGAACTTCTATGCAAATTCACAGACCCCCTTCCCACAAGAGGAGTCTGACTACGCCTCTTGTTGGGTCCGACAAAGGACTGAACATCTTTTTACCTTAAAGGTGGAACAGGAGGAACAGGAAGAAACTGGGGGTGAAAAGCCTCTCAATCATGGGATCCCCTGAAGTGTTTACCCCTTCCTTATAATCCTCACTCCCCCTCCCCGTAACCCTGAAAACCAAATTCACCCCTTCCCTGTGCCTGTAGCCGAGGATCGGGGCCAACAAGGTGGGCGGTGAGTGCCCCCCCCCCCCTCCCCAAGAACACACCGCAGGCCAAGACAAGAATCAGAACAATGCAGGAGGGATTTGGAGAATTTCCCCATGAGGACAGGGGACCACAGCTCAAGAGAAGCAGAATCTGTGTTCCCTCTCTGGGAAGTCCCTTTGGGACAAAGGCAAGGCGGGTAGTGAGGTGTGGAACTTTAAGAAGAAAATTAGATCTTTAGTAGAAGACCCCATCAGTCTAGCAGAGTAGTTAGATCAGTTTTTGGGCCCTAGTTATTTTTCCTGGACGGAAATGATGTCCATAATGAACATTTTGTTTAGCAAGGAAGAACGAGGGATGATCATAAGGGCAGCAGTGCAGGAAGGGGAGAGAAGAAACCCACCCAGTCAAGGGGTAGTTCCAGCTGAACAAAAGTTCCCTAATATAAATCCCAGTTGGGATAACAACAATCCTGCACATAGGAATAATACAAAATATTTGAGGGAACTGATTGCACGTGGGATTAAAGAAGCTGCCCCTAAATCTCAATGGTGTGAGATCCAGTGTCCCCAGGTTGGCCAGAGTGGGTGCAGGCCACAGCAGCAGCCGCTCTCTCGGTAGAAAAGAGTCAAAAGTTAACTTTCGGAGGGTTTCTGGTTGTGAATACTCCCCATCAGGTTAAAACAGCTTTGACTCAGAAGGCTGGACGGTGGCTAACGGATTCCAAAATCTTAAAGTACGAAGTGGTATTGGTTGAAGAGGATGACCTATTATTAACAACAGCCCCTTGTTTGAACCCCGCCGCCTTCCTCTGGAGGGGCGAGGACCGAGCCCCTGATTTGGAACGTGACTGCCCAGAACTAACGGATTACCAAACCAAGGTAAGAATGGACCTCAGGGATGTGCCTCGGCATGCAGGGCTGAAGTTACTCATAGATGGGTCCTCGAGAACAACAAAAGGAAAAAGGCGCGATGGGTATGCAATAATTGAAGGAATGGAGAATGAAGTGAAAGAAATGGGATGGCTGCCTAACCGCCGGTGGCACGAACCTGTGAGCTGTGTACTCTAAATCAAACATCACAGAGGTCAAAGGGAAAAGAAGGAACGATATATACAGACTCAAGATATACATTTGGAGTAGTACACACATTTGGAAAAATGTAGGAGGAAAGAGGATTCTTTAACAGCCATGGGAAGGGACTGGCCCATAAAGAGCTTATCAGGGAGGTAGTAGTCAACCTGGTGTTGCCAGCTGAAATCGTTGTGGTACATGTCAATGGACATCAAAAAGGGAATTCTTTTAGGGCAAGGGGAAATTGATTAGCGGACAAAAAGGCCTGAGAAGCGGCCTTACAACTTGATGTAATAACCATGAATTATCTCACCCCTGAGGTAGCTGTTTTACAGGAAACTCCGATTTTTGAGGAAAAATAAATGCTTAAGGAAATGGGGGCTAGTGAACAAAACGGGCAATGGGTACACCCCAATGGGATGGAAATGTTAATAACCAACTTCTGAGGGCAGTATTGACCATCCTGCACCATGGGAGCCATTGAGGTATACAAGCCATATGTGACCTGGCGCTGAGAAAACACGGATGTATAGGAATCTACACAATAGCCAAACAGATTTGCGAAAGATGCCTAACATGTAAGAAAGTAAATAAAAAGGAACTCGAGAAACAACCCATTGGAGGGCGGAATCCGGGTTTAAGACCCTTTCAAAGTATTCAGATCAACTTTTCCGAATTACCTAAAGTAGGTAAAGTACCGTGCCTCTTGATCATTTGAGTGGGTTGGTGGAGGCCTCCCCCTTAAGTACAGCTACAGCAGTGACAGTGGCTAAAATAATTTTGGAACAGATTATTCTTAGACATAGAATAGTAGAGAATATTGATTCGGATCAGGGAGGACATTTTACCTCAAAGGTGTTACAGAAACTAATAGATAGTTTAGATATATCTTGGGATTTCCATACCCCTTGGCACCCTCCTCCATCTGGGAGGGTGGAACGAATGAATCAGACAATAAAGAGACAATTATCCAAGCTGGTGTTAGTGACTAAGCTGCCTTAGAGTAAATGTTTGCCCATAGCCTTATTGAGGATCTGAACTGCTCCCCGTAAGGATACAGGAATCTCCCCTTATGAGATGCTCTTTGGGCTACCGTACCTGGGGAGGATTAAGGAACCCCCACAAAGAATGTATTCCTTAAAAGCTATATACTTGGGCTGTCTTCTTCATTACCTTCCCTCAGGCATCAGGGACTATCAGCCCAAACTCCACCGCTGGAGTTCGCAGTCCGTAAATTCCAGCCTGGAGACTGGGTCCTAGTCAGACCCTGGAAGGACACCAAGCTCCAGCCAGACTGAGAGGGGCATTTCCAAATCCTCTTGACTACAGAGACGGCAGCACGGAGAGCCGAAAAGGGGTGGACACGTTCTACGTGGCTCAAAGGACCAACTGGACCCTGGAAGAGCGTGGCGAGTGGCAGATCCGAACCACTGAGGATCCCCTACGGATGGCATCCAAGGAAAAGCACGCATCTACCTTGTAATCCCAGCCGGGAATAAGTGAGTCATTTGAAGTAGGATTAATTGTGGTTGTGATCTGAGTGGGAATAATATTCATTTATATTTGTTGAGAAAAACATAGACTCTGTGGAAAAGATGTGAGGAGGGAATTGGGTGACAATAATTACTTTAATAGCCCTGTGCCTTGATAGAAGTTACAGTAGAAGACTGGCGACAGTGGAAGGAGGAGCTGAGTATCCTGTTATGCTTTGGATAAATATAACTGAGACAGAAATACTCCAAACTATTCAATTTGATGCCTCTCAGGTGTTAAGCTGTGGAAGTGTTGGGGCCCAAAGACAGTTCAGTAGTGAGAATAAATATCTATGTCCTGAGACACAATCTTATAGGGGTCCACCACGTCCTGGGTGGAGTAATGTGCGGTGGACTGCCAACCATCAGGGATGGACTTATTCACCATCCTCGTCTAATTCAGTACAGATATTTAAAGATCAAATAAGCATATTTAAAGGAGTCTCCGGCCCCAGCTGCTCATCCTCACAATGTAATCCTATAGTAAGAACCATCAAAAAGGCTAACGATCTCATAAATTGCACTTGTGGCCTTGGAGCAGAGGTAACAAGGAAGGACCCCGTAGCGAGATTTGGAGTAGTAGTACGGAGACCACAACCTAATATTAGTCAGGAGGAAAAGCAGCCCCCTCAATCCCCTGAAGAAAGAAAATAGAGTCTCCCTAATGACCCTAAAATCGTGACTGTTACGGAAGTAAAGGATCTTAAACAAACTTTTGAAATAGAGACAGGGTACGGGGATACTGATGCCTGGGTAGAATGGGTCGGATACATTGTACAGGGTTTAAATCATGGCAATTGCTACGCCCGTGTGATGGGAAGGCCCACGGCACGAGTTGTTCCCTTCCCCTTGGGTGGGACTCAGGATCCACGATTGCCCTCTACCAGGAGAAGGCTGCTTGGGGGCACGGAACTTGCAAGTCTTTAGCATTACTCTTTCCTGCCACACAGGGCAAGGAAATGGAGGTGCCACCTGCTTTCTCCACTGCCCCGGTACGCATACAGCTCGCCTCTCACGACGGGGTAAGAAAGCTACCAGACTGTTGGGAGAATTCAACTTATGCACAAACGCCTTGGATGGAACCAACGATGGTGCAGGAAATTACTCAGCATTAAGTACCCCCGGAGCAGACGTGCGCTGGCGTTGTGGAGGAAAAATCCTGCAACCCATCCTACCCGCAAATTGGAAGGGGACGCGTGCGTTTGTTCAGTTGGCCAACCCATTCACCCTGGCATTTGAAAAAAGTTCAGATCCTTTAAGCAGGCGAGCGAAGAGGAGCCTAGGAGTATCATCCGATGATCAAATGTACACTGACTCTGTTGGAGTTCGTCAGGGAGTCCCAGACAAATGCAAGGCAAAGAATTGGATATCAGCAGGGTCTGAGTCCTTTTTAGTCTGATGGGTAACTGTAAATAAGAATGTAGACTGTATAAATTATATTTATTATAATCAACAGAGGTTTATAAATTACACCAGAGATGCGGTAAAGGGGACTGCTGAGCAATTAGATGCTACAAGTAGAGTGGCCTGGGAAAACAGAAGAGCTCTAGCTATGATATTAGCCCAGAAAGGAGGTGTCCGTGTAATGCTGGGGAACAGATGTTGGGCTTTTATTCCCACTAGCACAGCCCCTGACAGGACTACCACTGAGGCGATGCAGGGACTTACTACCTTGGCGGGTGAACTAGCAGAGCGTTCAGGCACAGACGGCTCACTGCCTGGGTGGCTGGATTCCCGGTCTGGGAAGCGGACGGGGACGGCCGTGCCTATCCTCACCTCTCCGGAGCAGCAGGTGCCCTAACGGCAGGGGGATGCTGCACAATCCCTCATGCCCGAGGACTGGTCCAACGCCTTAGTGGAAACGCCTTCTCAAAACAGGTGCCTCGGGGCCCGCCTCCCCATCTTGACAAGGTGCTGTTACTAGAAGAACAGGAAGATAAGGACGCGACAGACGCCCCGTCATCGGAGGCAAAACACTAAATCATGTAGTCGAGACTAGAAGCTGCTTGTGGAGCAATACCCTGAGAATATGCAAAAAGCAACAGGACTATAAATAAAAACAGGGGGGGAAATGTATGGGAAAGAACGTTGTTTTCCCATGGCGAGCCTGGTAAGGGTGAAGGGGCTTAAACGCCTGGCTTTTGGTTAAAGAACGAGTGATGTGTGTCGCTGGCGCTAACATACTAACTGGAACAGTCGGAGGTAGCTGGAGACACCGAAAGGCGTGGGGACCCCGCACGTGTGAACGCCCCCCCTTAGCACGCTTGCTTAATGAGTTCACGCATATTAACTGCTCCGCCCTGGGCGGGGCTAAGGCTCCTGTTACTGAACATGCCAGGAACATACGTGCAGAGGCGTGTCGGCAGGCGGTCCGGGGAGCCTGCACGCCCTGGAGTACTCGGCACAGGAGGGGTCGGGGGAGGGAAAAGGGCTACAGCCCATCGCCTGGCGTCCACTCGGGGCGTCCCCCGGTCTTGCAAGAACGAAATAAAATGTGCTTCACGGGTGAGACCTGCCGGGGCCGCTGGTGGTTGAGGTTTGCTCGCGGGGTGCAACCCAAGAGCCGCGGCGTGACGGGGTCACGCGTTGCGGGGGGCACCGAGGGCGACGGGGAAAGGATTCGGTGTGCTGTGCAGGAGCGCTGGGAGGGAGGGGGAAACGGGGAGGATAAAGACCCACAGTTCAATGGGGAAAGGGAGGAGATAATCAAGGGCACAGAAAAACTGTCGTCGCTCCAACCGTCACATGGAAACGTTGTTTTGCGAGGAGGGATTTAACATCAACAAAGGGCGGAGGAGAGCCAGGGAAGGGACATCGAGGGGCACCAGGCGCGGAGAAGGGCGGCCCCCGTTTTCCGAAGGGGGGGGGGGGGGGTCGTCCTCGGGGCCGCGCTGCCGCCCTGCCGCGGCACCCACCGCCGGGGCGAGGCCGAACACCAGCCTGTCACCGCGCGCGCCCCGGGGGGGGGTGACGCCGGGGCAGCGGGAGCCCTTCCGCGAGCGGGGAGGGGGGGCTGCCACGTGCCCTGACCCCGCCGCGCCCCACGGAGCCGGGCTGGGGGGGGGGGGGGGGGGGGCACCCCCCGTTCGGGACCCTGCGCTCTCCATCGGGGACCCAGGGATGTCCCACCCACCGCCCCCCCCCCCCCCGCGGCGCCGATTGGCTGAGCTGCGCCCCTGCCCGCCCACGATTGGCTGGGACCGCAGCGCACAGCCGGTGTGCCTCGATGGCCAGAGGGGCCTGGCCTGCTGATTGGCTGAGGCGGCCGCAGCCTCGTGTGTCCGTGTCCTGATTGGCTGAGGCATCTCCGGACTCATGTGTCCACATTCTGATTGGCCAGGGCAGCTGCAGCCTCATGCCTTCATGTTCTGATTGGCTGAGGCAGCTGCATCCTCCTGTCTCCACGTGCTGATTGGCTGAGATAGGTGCAGCCTGGTGTCTCCTTGCCCCGATTGGCTGAGGCAGCTGCAGCCTCCTGTCTGCACATGCTGATTGGCTGAGATAGGTGCCCCCTGGTGTCTCCTTGTTTTGATTGGCTGAGGCAGCTTCAGCTTCATGTGTCCGTGTTCGGATTGGCTGAGGCAGCTGCAACCTTGTGTCTCCTTGTCCCGATTGGCCGGAGCAGCTGCAGCCTCATGTCTCCCCATGCTGATTGGACGTGGCGGCTGCAGCCTTGTGTCTCCTTGTCCCGATTGGCTGAGGCAGCTGCAGCCTCCTGTCTCCACGTGCTGATTGGCTGAGATAGGTGCAGCCTGGTGTCTCCTTGTTTTGATTGGCTGAGGCAGCTTCAGCTTCATGTGTCCGTGTCCCGATTGGCTGAGGCAGCTGCAGCCTCCTGTCTCCCCATCCCGATTGGCTGGGGGGCCGCTCCCCGGCAGGCGGGGGGCTGGGGTGCTGCCCCCCACCCCTGCGGCCCCGGCCCCCCGCCCACCGGGCCCAGTCCCGCTGCGGTGCTGGTCGTGCTCCGTGCGCGCAGCGGATCTCCGGGGGCCGCGTTTCTGATCCTGTAACGTTTGCAAATATTTGCAAAGCGGGTCGGGCCGCTGAGCCGGCGGGGCTGCAGATTCGAGGGCAGAAATGCCGGTTTAGGTGAACGTTCCTGCCGGGCGGGTCGGGTCTCTGGACGCGCCGGGGGCTGTCGGCCAGCCCTGCAACACGCGTTGTGGGTGTAGGAAGCCACGAGCGCAGGCACCGGTGGCTCGAATGCATCGGCGAGATCAATTTTCACCCACGAATACAAAAAAAAAAAAAACACTGAAAACAAGAAGTGCGCCTGCCAGACAAAGGACTGCATTTTTAGACAAACTCCAGGCTGTGATTAGTCCGTCCAGCCCCACCTGCTTCCATGGAGATGCGAATCTCCCTCTCCCGACGCACCAGCCGCATCCCGGCTGCCTTCGCGTGCACCTTCTTCCACGAGGAGACCCTCATCCTCCTCGCCATGGGAGCCGGAGCTCCTGGCCCCATCTGCGGCTGTAGGACACTTTGCAGCCAACCACCCCCCCCTACCCCGCCGCGTTACAGCCCCCGGCCCCCCCCTTTGGGAACCTGCCACCTCCTGCCACCACGGCCCCATCCTGCCCCCCCCCGCAGTGGACCTCGGCCTCCACCGCTGCCCGTGGCCTCCCCGGGTGGGTAACCACCATCCCCCCCACCACCAGACCCTCAGATTTCTGGAACATCCCAAATTCTGCTCGTCCCTTTCTTTTTTTTGGGGGGGGGGGGGGGGGGGGGGGGGGGGGGAGAGGGGGGGCCTTGCCATCAGCTGCAGTGACACAACCCCTGCGAGGTTTCTGGGGTGCAGATGGTCTTTCCCATACGCCCACCACCACCGTGGAGGAGAGCGATGCCCAGCAGCGAACTGGGAAAGCGGGGTCCCATCACCCACCCCGACGGACACGGCTCCTCCGGGCAGCGCGTACCCCCCCCCCGAGCATCCCTCTACGGGGGGGACGGAGCATCCCTCTACAGGGGGGGGATAAGCCCCCCCAAAACTAAGCGACACTAATCCCCAGGAAAAGTAAAAAATAACGCTGGGGTCAGGGGTCCTGCGTGGCCGCTGTGGAGGAGGAGATGCCGCACGGGGCTGGTGCGGGGTCAGGCTGCCCCGACCCCACGCCCGCACCGGCCCCCAGCAGCGCGGGGGGCGCGGGGTGCGTGTCCCCGTCGGACACCCCCCATCCCCGTTACCATCAGACGAGCCGCGCCCCGCAGCTTTGTTCCCCGGTACCGAGGGGCGGACGCGGCTCCGGGGGACGAGCGGGCTGGGGGGGGGGGGGGGCCGGGGGGGGTGGAAAAACGGGGATCGCGGTGCTCGGGAAACTTGGTGGGAGGGGGGACGCGGGGGCACGGCGGGGAGATAAAGGGCGGCCGCGTTAGGAGGAGCTGTTTTGCATCCCTTCACGTCAGCCCTGCCTCATTCCCTCCTTCTTCCTTCCTGCGCACCCAGCGCCGGGCCCGCAGCCGCCGCCGCCGCCGCCCCGGGAGCGCCCGGTGAGTCCCCGCCGCCGGGACCCCCCCCCCCCCCCGCTCCCCCTGCCCCCCGCTCCGCCAGCACCGGGGGGGGGGGGGGGGACCCGGTGCCGCCGCTCCGTCGCCGCCTTCTCTTTCACTTCCACCTTCCCCCCGCGACCGAGACGGGAGCGATGGCGGCGGGAGAGAGGCGGCGGGGGGGGGGGGGGGGGGGGGGGGGGGAAGCGGCGGTGCCCGCTCCGCACGTGGGTCCGCCGACCCCCCCCCCCCCCCGCCCCACACCCACCCCCCCCCCCCGCCAGTTCCCCGCCGACAAGTTTTCCCGTCGCCGCTCGCAAACTTTCTCCGCGGCCGCGGGGCCGGGGAAGTTGCGGGGCGGGCGGCCCGGGCCGGGGGGGTCGTTACCTGTTGAGGGGGGGAGCGGCGGTGGGAGCGTCAGCCCCGGGCCGGGCTGTGCGGGGGGGGGGGGGTGGGAGGGGGCAGGTAACGCGCGTGGGTGGGGATGCCCGCGGGGGGAGAGGGCGGGTTGGGTGCCGGGGCGGTCGCCGGGCAGCACCCCGGGGTGCCGGCTGCCCTCCGGGGGCGGGGGGGGGGGGGGGTGCCGGGCCGGCGGGCTCACGGCGCTGCTGGGGGCTGGGGTGTCCCCGCGTGGGCTGCGCCCCAAGTTTGGGGACAGTTTGCAGGCGCTGGGGACCGGCCCGACATCGGCTGTCCCGGCTGAGCTCCGCCCTATTTACAGCAACAGAGGGAAAGTGGGGCGCGGGGGGGCTCCACGGGCTCCGGCTGCTCCGTCCCGCACCGGGCAGGTCCCGCTCGCTCTCTCCATCACGGAGGCACCCCCACATTTCCCGGTGTCAGACCCCCCCCCGACGGCGCCGTGGGAGGGGCTCGGTCTGGGCGGGCACCGCTGCTGCCGGGCCGGGGGCTGCTTTGTCCCCACTGGGGACATCGGCTGGTCCGGGACTCCCTGTTTGTGCAGCCCTTTGATAGCTCCCTATTAATCAACAGGATGCAGCAGTTAAATTAGTTATAATTAATTAATTAGCCAATCATTAGTTGCTTCTTTGTCAGCAGCCCGTGGGGGCAGAGGAGGGGGAGCCACGGGACCTCCCTCCGGGTCCCCACCCGGCAGTGCCACGGGCTCCGTCGCGCTCCCGGCCTCGGCGCGGTGGCTTCTCGCGGCGGTGATTTACACCAGCCCCACGCAGCCGTGCAGGCAGCAGTCCCAGCAAACGTGGGCTCCGTCAGATTCGTGCAGGTAGTCCGGGCCGGCCGCAGAATTTTAACAAATGCCTCTTTGGTTGGAGGGAGACCCCAGACCCACGGCTTTCCCGGGGAGATGCCTGAGAAGTCAGGGCAGGGACACCCGTCTCAGCCCCGGGGGGGTAACCGCCTCCCGGCAGCCGGTTGGGGAGCAGCAGCCGTGGCAGCAAACGCCGTTTCAGCAGCAGTGACCGGTCCCCTCTGCGCCCACCCCTGCGTGACAACCTCCCCCCCCACCCCCCGGGAGCCGGGCAAACCCTCCTCAGCCAGAGCCAGCACGGGGAGAGCCCCGGCCAGGCTCCTCTTCTGTGAGCAGGCTTCTATTAATGCCCTCCCTGAATAGCGATCCCATTATATCCCTACAAAATGGTAAATTAGATCAGAGTAACTTGAGCTCTGCTGCACACCAAGAAACATCCCCGACCTAAACTTGGGAGGTGACTCGGAGGGTCGGGCATGGATACCTGCAGCGAGGGGAGTGGGAGCATCTTCCAGGGTGCCCGAGTAGCGTGTCTCCTCTTGTTCCTTTTGACCCTGGCAGGGGTTGGTTTCACCTCTGAGAAAGTGCATTTAGTTGGTTTTATTGGACCGCCGTGCAAAGACGGTTTTTCATTTATAAATTAGTTTAGGGAACACAGTGTGGAGAGGGATGAGCGCAAACATCATCCCGCTCTGCCCGTACAGCTGGAAATGTTGAGGATTAGGCAAAATGGTGTTTTTGTACCGCAAAGAGCATGCCAGTGTAAAATCCTGTGAGTGAGAGCGTTGCCTACAGTCCTCGCATTTATTCTACATTTCTTCTCTGTTGGGAGGTCGGCTCCAATTCGGCACCCGCTTGCGCACGGTCTCGGCACCAGCCGAGCGGGTCGTGTCCTGGTGCTCGGCCAGGCCAGGGCCAAAGGGAGGGAGGGGAGAGCCGCCTGCTGTCCCCGACGGGCCAGGACTGGGGGGTTCCTGCTGGTTTTAGTGCCGTTGCTCCCCCTTCCCTCCGCGGGTTTTGGTTTCCCTTGACCTGTCCCATCTCCTCCGGCGAGGCAGAGCTCAGCTCCTGTCCCCGGCCCGTGGCCGGGACGTGAGATGTCCCAGATACCTGCCCGGGGCGGGTTTGACTGGAAGAACATTGCTGGACAGCCGAGATGTACTGGGAGCGCCGCGGTCCCCTCCTTTGTGCCTGCCGGGAGCCCTCGGGATGAGTCACCGTCCCCGCTGAGGTCCCGGAGCCCTTCCCGCCGCGCTTGACCTTGGGGACAGAGGACAGCGATCCGGTGATTTTTCCCTTTGTCCCGCTGTCCCACGTTTTCCTCCTCCAGCCCGGTGCACAGCT